CTTGTAAGTAAAGGACAACCAAATTGAATACAATATTCAATTGAATCATAACTAACAAGAAAAGGTGAACAAATTAAATCCGATAAATGTCCAATAAAAACAATTAATGCAAATAATGATAATAATGATAGTGTAAATTCAAAATACCATTCATGTGGTGTAAATTGATCCCATATTGTCCATATCATTTCCCATTGAACAATATAAATTGTTCCTATAATGAATATATGAAATTTTAATAAAATTGTTTTTATAATCCATTTTTGTTTTTTGCAATAATTATATATTAAATCTTGAAAAATATAAAAACATAAAAGTAGAATTTGTACAACTAAATAAGGATATACTAATGATTCCCATGTATAAGATTCGAAGTCTTCTTGTGTTATTTCACTTAAATGTAAATTTGGTGAAAATTTATTTAAAACATTTAAAAAAATTAAAATTAAATTCCAACCAGTTTCCCAAAACAAAACTAATATTGGAAATAATAAAAAAGCAGTTAGAATTGGTTCAATAATAAATAAAATTCTTTTTTTATATTTATTTTCTTTATATTGATCAATAGTTAATTGATGATCAGTTGAATGATATCTATCTATAATTGATAATCTTCTTTCATTTTCATTATTTTCATTATTTTCATTATTATCATTTTCATCTCTTGTTAATAGAAATGTTGTTTGATGTTCTAAACCTGATGGTGGAATACGTTCTTGTGGATGATATTCACTTCCATTTGGTAAATATAATTGAGATACATTTGATAAACGACGTTGATAATTAGGACAAACACTTAAACGACGACCATTATCCAATTCTTCTTGTTCAACAATAATTACAGGGAATGTTGTAGATTTTCTTCGACCACTTTGGCCTTGTTTACGATGATAATTTTGACTCATTTTTAAGACGGTTTAGCTTTTTTTCTTTTTTATAAAATAAGACTTTTCTTGTGTTTTTTTCATTTTATAGTAGAATTTTTTTATTGTTATAGATAATAGATCTTTGTCCTTTTTATTTTATGATCTCTCTTTAAATGAAAGTACTTGAAAAGAATCATTTTATATGATTTTATTCATATTGATTTAATATAATCACATAAAATCTTTCTCCTATTTTGTTTTTCTTTTTCTTTTTTCAAATATTTAAACGAAATTAAAATATATAGAAAAAAAAATGTCAAATAAATCGAATTGAAATAAAATTTGAATCGAATGATAAAACTTTTGTTTTTCATAGAATTTCTCCTAATAAAAAAAAATTCTTTTTATTTATATATTTATTCTCGATTAGTTTTTATTTAAATCAAATAAAATTCTTTGTTTAAATAATAATAATAATGAATTATTTCTATATTTAAACAAAATTTATATAATTATTAGATTTTAATTCTTAGAAATAAATTATTTAAAAACTTTTCAAAATGTGTTCGATTCAATTTCTAACTTTAGTTAAATATAGTTTTGATTAAATTGAAATATTTAAGAAAAAAAATCATTCATTCTTCAAACATTAAAAAAAAATTCGTTAATTATTTATTTGAGAATATTTTACTGATAGATGACTTGATTATTCTCAATAAATTAACTTAAATTGTCGAATTTAAATAGAAATCAAAACCAATTAAATAAGAAACAATATCGAATGAAAATTTTTCAATGATTTTTTTAAAGATAAAATAATTATAAACAATATTCAAATAAGAAATTCTTGAATAAAATATATCAAAAAGTTTTATTATTATTTCTAAAAAAAAATATTCCAAAACAAAATAAATTATCTATTTTGCTCATTTAAATGGCAAAACTCGAAATGTTAAATAATTATTTCTAATGACGTTATAATAATAATAATAATAATAATGTCTCGTGGGTTTATCACTAGTTGAGGCCAACTGTAGTTGTGATCAATTTACTCTACTATTTTCTATCCTGGGCTAGGGGGAACAAGTCTTAGGGATTACAATAACACCATTCGATGATGTCATCTAGCCATACATTCTTTGATCTTCCTCTCCTTGATGATTAACCTTCCATTGTCGTGAATAGTGTGTGTTTGAAGAGTCTGCTTTCATCTATCCTACAGATGTGGCCAAACAGTCTCACTTTTCTTTTGATTATTGTTTCTATGACAGTTTCTTGTGCCTTAATTTCCGTTACGAATGTCGGCATTTGACATCATATCTTGCCAGCTGATTTTCAATATTCTTCGGTAGTACTTCATCTCGAATGGTAGTAATTTTCTCTTATCCGCTTCTTGTAAGGTTCATGTTGCTGAAGCATATAGCAGCACACTGAAGACGCACGCTTTGAGGATTCTTATCTTGCTTTCTGTTTCTATCTTTTTGCTGTTTCATATATGTTTCAAAGAAGACAATGCTCCAATTGCTTTACCAATTCTTTGTTTGATATCTTCTGAGGAGTTACTGTCCTATGTTATCAGACTTCCAAGGTATTGAAAATTTTCGACGTTTTCAATAGTTTCCCCTGCAGTGTGAGCCTGTTTGTCGATGTTTTTATTACCGAACACCATCGTCTTCGTTCTTTGTATGTTTATTATTAGTCCTGCTTTCTCAGCAGTTTCTTTCACTCTTTGAATTCGTTGATGAACTGATTCACATTCCTCAGTTAGCAGATCGATATCATCTGCGAATCGTAGGTTATTTATTATAATTCCACTCATATTGATTCCGTATAGTTGTTCTGTTACTGTGTCCATTATTCTTTCAAGGTATGTAATGAACAGTAGTGGTAATATAGGATCTCCTGACCTCACTCCTACATTCCTTTGGAACCATTCACTAATATCTATTCCAATGCGGACTGCTGATTGCGCTTTTTCGTAGATGTTTTGCAGTATTGTGACTAGCCTTTGTTCTACTTCGTACGATCTCAGGAGACTCCAGATAATTTTATACTTGATCGTATTGAAGGCTTTTTGAAAATCAATAAAACAGTTGTATATCTTTTCGCCTTTTCGTTTTGCCTTCTCCGCAATGAGTCCGCGTATTAATATTTGGCACACGGTGCTTCTGTCTTTTCTTAAACCTGCCTGTCGCCTCTGAAAGATACGACTCGAGATAATGCTTGAATCTATTCAGTAACACTATTAGAGTTATTTTTCCAATGTGACTTATTAGTGAGATAGTTTTGTAGTTTGAGCATTCGGTCATATCTCCTTTTTTTGAGTATTGCCACTAGAATTGATCTTACCCATTCTTTTGGTATTTTTCCTCCTTCTCACACTCTGTAGCATAGTTTATGGATTTTTCGAACAAGATCTTCACCTCCATCTTGAAGCATCTCAGCTGTTATTCCATCTGTGCCAGAACTTTTGTGCCTTTTAAGAGAGCGTGTGGCTTCTTCGACTTCAGAATACAAAATATCTTTGGATTCTTCATTACCGAGAGGGATTATGGACTCTAATTCTTTCATCACTCCGTCTCCGCCGCCTTCTAGGTTTCTGTATAGGTCATAACAATACTGTGTCTATATCTGTCTCACGGATTCTTTTGACTGCAACATGTTACCAATTTGATCTCGTATCATCGTTACTTTTGGCACATACTTCTTCTTTAATATCTTTATTGTACTGTATGTCTGTCTAGTGTTGCCAATTTTCAGACCTTTTTTGATTTCCTCACATTGGTCTTGTATCTATTTTTGTTTGTTTTGTCTTGCTAACTTCTTGACCTGATTACAAAGGATTTTGTATTTTTTAGTGTTTTCTACAGATGTATATTTTATCTGACGTAATTTCCTGTTTTTGTCAGATAAGTTCAAATTTTGCTCAGATATCCAAGGTTTTTTGGCTTGTCGTCTCAGAGTTACGGCTGCAACCAAAACATCTTTGATTGCCTTTTTAATGTGCGTTGTACTCTCATCTAAGTTGCAATCTGACTGAATATTCTTAATATTGCCACTCAGTTTCTTTTGAAAGACCTCTTTTATTCATGGTTCTTTCAGCTCGCTTATGTCAAACGTGCAGAAATATTGTGATATTGTACATAGTTTTTTCAGTTTGAGATTAATATTGCACAAGACTAGCGAGTGATCTGAGCTCATATCTGCACTTTGAAATGTCCTGCAGTTAAGAATAGATGTTTTCCATCGTCTTTGGACGATCACTAAGCCGATCATGTTTTTGTGAACACCATCAAATGATATCCATGTACACTTACAGCGAGATTTTTGTCGAAATCTTCTATTAAATATGAAGAGATCGTGTTCTGCTGCAAACTCCAATAGTCGTTCATCCCATTCATTTCTTGTACCACAGTCGTCCCTTTCCATTACAGACTCCCAATTTGTGTTGTCACTCCCTACTTTTGCATTCCAGTCTCCAGTAAGAATGATCATATCTTTTTGTTGGATGTAATGGCTAATGTCTTCTGTATTGTGTCATAGAATGTCTCGATATTCTCTTCTGAAGAGTTCGACGCCGGTGCGTACACATGGATAGCTGTGATTTTGAATTGGATCGTATTAAATCTTGCTGTTATCATCCTTGAGTTGATCGGATTGTAGCTCAGTAGCGAGCACTTTGCTCTCTTTCTGAGTAGCATCCCAATCCCTCTCATGTGCTTATTATCTTCTCCTAATTAGATGAAGTGATCGTTTGGTGTCTCTCCTTGTCCTATCCAGCGTACTTCAGAGATACCTATGATGTCACAACTGAAGCGTTTCATCTCATGACTGAACAGCTCGAGTTTTCCTGTTGTCCACAGTGTTTACACATTCCACGTTCCAATGGTGAATATTGTTTTTGTTGTTTTCAATTTTCGGGTATCATTTCTTGTTTCAGTGTTTGTTCCAGTAGGTCATTTTTCGACTCTGTTCTGGTTCATTGACAGAGGACGCGGACCTTGTTCACCCGGGCGACGTCCGAGTCGATATAGATTTTGAAATTGATTGTACATGGTTGGTTTCTTTAGTCTTTTCCTTTTATAGACGGCAGTATCTGTACCTCTCCCGTCTGATGATAAAATGAGATGAATGTTGATGTCGATGTTGTAGAAAAAAAAGTTTGTTATATATAATTTGTTGAAAGAGTTTTTTATATAGATAAATGTTGGTATGATCGAGGAAGAATATGTTTGGAATATTTCTATAAAATAATATTGAAATGAATCTACCATTAGTTCATTTTTAGTTATTACCTCATTTATCAATCTTTATCAACAATTTTATTGAAGTTTTTTTATTTTATTTTTTGTTTTGGTTAATTGAAGAGAATTTTTTTATTTTTAACTTTTATAGATTATTAAATAAAGTATTTTAAAATAGAAAAAAAATCCAATCTATCAATAATGTGAATAAGAGGAGAAATTCAAAATCAATGATAATAAAGAGATGAGTAGTCAAATGTAATTATTCTTATCTATTTTAATATAACTAATTGAAAAGCGGTAGAGATATTCTAACTTGTTAAAATTTAAATATAGAAATTATAAATTTGAATGAAACAAAATGTAATTATTAATCAAACTAGATATTTTAACCAGAGAATAACTAACTATTGTTAACCTTGAGATTTATTTCTAAAACAATTCTCCAACGTTTAAATATTCTTCTTAATGATCAAGATTTCTGTTTCTATTTTTTAATATTAAATAAATAAATCAACAATAAAGATAAACCTTTTTTTATTTATTTATTTATATTTAAATAAGATAAATCTCGATAATATATTTATCAGAATAATAAAATATTATTTTATAATTTATTTCAAAATTTTAAATAAAATCAGTTAATCAACATGGTTTGTTTCTCTGATAGGCATAAACGACTCGATTATGGCATCTTGACCACCATTAATAATTAAATAGAATCGATATCGATCAGGGATTTTATCCAAAATCTTCTTAATGATCTATAATCTATGGTAATATATGTTTTTAGGATGATGATTATATTATTCTATATATCGATATATAAACAATATTCTGATGGTATACGATAAATGTAAACAGTCGTCTACCATTGTTTGACATCGTATTTCGATGAAATATTTCAAGATTCTTCTCTCCTAAAAACAAAAATAAATCTCGAATTAATTAACTTAAATTAATTCGTATGTTTATACTTGTTTCAATATAAATATAAATAAAAAGAAAAAAAATCTAATTGAAAATGATCAAAGATAGATATATCTATTTTTCAATATCACTATTTATTGCGCGTCTAGTAGATGATCAATATTAACTGTCAATTAACATGGAAAAACTAGTTAAAAAGTTAAATGGTAGTTCTCGTATTAAGAAAAAAGATTTCTTTTTTAAAGAGATTTAAAATCTATAATATCAGACATTGACTTATAGAGAGATTAACTGATCAAAGATTAATATCATTATTAATAACTCAACGATATATATTCATTCTATATGATAACATACAGAACTAATTATCAAGTTAAATCACTTTAATAATCAGACGTAAAAACGATATTGTTACAAGACGTAAAAAAGAATCTAAGAAACATCGATAGAAGAATGTTTATGTAGAAAATAAAATATAGAGATTTCTATTCTGAAAGAGAACATAGATAGAAATTGAGATGATAAACAAGAATATATTCATTCTATTGATAATATTATTTATATAACAATTTACTATCAATATAAACTGATCAAAAAAAAGTTCTTATTCTCTTTATTCGATTTTGGTTATGAACAAATCATTTTTGTTAATCTAATAGTTTTTCTTCTTAAAATCAAATCCTTAATTCGAATAAACTATAAAAAAAGACAATTCTTTTCTAATAACAGTTTATTATATTAGCTTTTATTTATCTTTAAACTCAATTGCTTTTCTAATGATAACTTTTTTCACAAGGTTTACAATAAATAATAAAAATATTCTTCTCCAAGGAAGAACCGATCTTAAGGGGAATCTCACCCCCACTTTCCTGACTCAAAATTTTTAGTCTTTTCATTTATTATTTTTAATGTCTAATATATAGATCTAAATGCTGTCTATCTAATGAGCATATTTTAACAAGGTTAAACCATCTTTTTACATATAAGAAACTCGAAAAAAATCTCAATTTTATGCTAAAAAAGTGTAACTTTCTTTGCGATTTTCTAAAAATCATTTTTTTTGAAACGAAAAATTCAAGTTTTCCCCCGTTTTCTCCTAGACGATTCGATCGATTGGACTTAAACGTTTTTTTCAAAGCAGTTCGATAAAATTGGTATTTGTCGGTTTTTTTCTCTTAAAAATCTTCTACCTATAAAGTTTAGCAGATTTTAGAAAATGATCACCCTTAGAAAGAAAATCTTTTTTGTTCATGCTTTTTTTTTGATAGTGTCTCCATTGTTTAGCTTCTCTTCAATCTGAGAAGCGATATTTTTTAAAAAGAAATAAAAAATGAAAGCCACATTTCTTCCTAGTTGACACAGAATAAATTTTCGAGTCTATGACAAGTTTTATTCTACTGATCGAGATCTATTCATCCTGAAAGTTTCAAACATTTTCACTGATCCATTCCCGCTAAACCTCGAAAAGGGAAGAAAGGAATCCTTTTAAACGGTTAATATATATCAAAGATTGATTTGAACGATAATTTAAAATAAATATTTATATTTAACTCTTAAACTTATCGATATAATCGTCTGAATTGTTAACTATATTTCAATGAATATAATTTAAATATTGAATATCTTTCTATTGTTTATTATTGAAATAATTTATTATTAAACATGTTTAACTATTTTATATAAATAATATATTAATAAACTATTCAACTTTTTTATCATTTAAATAATCAATTTAAAATAAAGAATTTCTTCGATAAAAAAGTCCAAATAAACTATTTCATATCTACATAGAAGGTTTGATGAATAAATCTACGATAGATGTCAGGAAATAAAAAAAAAAACTAAATGAGAGGATTATTCTTGTTTCCGTGACAATAGTCAATCAGTGAAATATGGTTTAGTTATTAATATAACATTCAGATGAATATATTCTTTTATAAAAATGTTAACATTAACAAGTGATGTAAGTTAAATTAATAATAAAATAAATTTTAAATAAAATATTTGAAAAAATTTAGTTTGAATCGGATTCATTCATGTCGGATTTATCAATTAATAAAATCAATCAAGATAATAATTCAATAGAAAATATTCCTCGAAATTTCGATATTCAAGGAGATAAATTAAATGAAATAACATCAAATAATAGACAAGTTTGTTTTAGATTTTTTTTTATTTAAAATAAATATTTATTTTTTTTAGTTAATTTATCTTCAAAGTCAATTAGCAAGATTAAGATCAGAATTAGAAAAAAGTGAAATGTTAAGACAAACATTAGAATATGAATTAACACTTATTAGAACACAACATGGAAAACAAACCGCTTTTACAAATCAATTACAATATCAATTTAATCAAGCTAATGGTTTTTTTTATTCTACTCGGTTTTTTTTAATATTTTTTATTTTTATTTTAAAGAACAAATAAAACAACTTCAATCGGAAATAACAATGATTAATAATGAAAAAGATTATAAAATAAAAGAAAAAGTATTTTATTTAAATAGATCTTCTTTTATTTAATTAAATATTTATTTAAAAAGGATGATAAAATAAAAGAATTGGAAAAGGAAGGTGAAACATATCATGATCGAGAAAGGTTTTTTTTATTTCTTAACCATTTTTTTTATTTTATTTAAATATAAAATAATATTCTAGACGTATTCAAACTTTAAATGAACAAATTCAAAAAATGGAAAGTATGATTTAGATTTTCTTTTTTTTTATTTATTTTATTTATTTATTCAATTTATCTTTAACATAAATAGAAACATTTTCTGATTCGGAATGTTTATCTAGACAAAATTTAGCTCAATCGATTTTAGCTAAAGAGCGTCAAGCTGAATTAAAAAAAGAATATGAGGTCAGTTTAGTACTTTTTTTTATTTTTATATATATATATTATATTAACAAAATAGGTTATTAAAATAAAACTTGAATATAGTGAACAATCACTTGAACAAGAACGTGCCCTTTCAAATGAAGCTAAACTCAATGTTCAATTATTAAATGTATTTAAAAAAAAAATAAAAAATAAAAAAATTTGATTATATTTAGAATCGTTTATCTGATATGGAAACAAAATGTGAAACATTAAAAACAAATTGTATAAATCAAGAAAGAAAAATTGATGAACTTGAAAGACAATGTTCAAATGAAAAACTTCTTCGAACAACACTTTCAAAAATTCAATCAGATTTAGAAACAAATTATGCTCAAACACAAAAAATAACGATTGATTATGAAAAACAATTAAAAAATCTTCGAGATGAACTTGCTAATGTTTGCTTTTTTTTTATTTTTTTTTTTATTTATCTAAATTAAATTTCGTTATTAATTAGTATCGAAGAAAATTTCGAAATAATGAAGAAAAATATAATCAAATTGTTAATAAAATATTTGAATATCTTCGTTTAACTAAAATAATTAATGAAACAACAAATCAATCTGATCTTAATTTACCAACATTAAAACAATTAGAAGAACTTAAAATAAATATTGAACAATTAAAAAATTCAAAAATTGAACAAACAAACGAAGTAAGATTTATATACTTTTCTTCATTATTTATTTTTATTTATATTTCTAGATAACTCGTTTAAAAAGAACAATTGAAAGATTAAATAAAAATTCATTAAATCAAAAACAAGTTGAACATCAAACAGAGGTTTGTTTATTAAATATTATATTGAAAATAAATAATTTTTATTTTCAATATATAGATTGAACAAAGTTTTTTTCTTTTTTTTATAATTAAATTAATAATCAATAGTTTATCTATTATTTTCATTTGAGATTTATTTTATTTTCTATTCAATAATATTATTTAAAATGTTTTAGAAAAAAAAAAACATTTTTCATTTCAAATTAGTTTTTATTCTATTTTCATTCAAGAAATTCTTCATTGATAAAGAATTATTTTAATCATTGATAATCGATCCTAATCTTGAATCGAAATTCAATTCAATAAACAGTTTCGAATGTCTTTTTAAAAAAAAAAAGAATTAATTTTTATAAAATCTAATCTCATTTTTTATTTCTATTAAATAACTGATTAAGATCAATCATTCATAGAATAGACACTATTCACTTTTTTCAAAATAATCATTATAACACAATATTTATCAGAAATTATTCGAAAAAAAAAAACTAATCATCTCAGAAAATAATTCGTAAAAGGTCTTATGTGAATATCTCGATGAATGTGGAGGATAGTCGTCGGTTGTCCTATCCTTTACTGAGATTTTCTTCGAACCTCTATTATATTATATCTGATCAGTCAAGATTATTTTAATATTGATTTTAAAAAAAAGAAAAACTTGTAGAGATATTTGTTAATATATAATTATTGAAAAAATTCTTATATTCTATTTCTATTATATTATTCTCAATAGTTAATTAATAGTAGAACAAATCTACGAATTGTATTGATCGATTATTTCGAATAAATATTTATTTATTATTAAATTAATTCGAAAATAATCTAGTTGAACAATTTTTTTCTTTATTTGTTTTAATAGTAAAACAAATCTTATTATAGAATTAATAAAATAATATATTAACTTCCTTATTGATTATTTATCCAAAATTTTTATTATAAAATATTCTTTAATTAAGAGAATTGTTATATATATAAAGAGATAATAGAAATTCTATATTGAAATCTTTCATTTATTCTATCGTTTAACGTGTTTTCAAATAAATACTTTTATTTATCCGACATATCAATCGTTTCAATTAACAACAATTTTAGTTTTTTTTATTATTTAAATAAAATTGAACATATTTCAATAATAATAATAAAATCTTTATTAGATAAATATCTCAACTGTGACAATATATTTCGAAAATAATTTATTTTCGATTTATGTTGACGTAGATAAACTACTATTAAATCTTCAAACGTTTTTTTTGTTAAAGGATGCATCAAGAAAAGGTCTATATATAGATGTTAAAAACAAAATTCCTATTGACTTGTATCGATACTCTTTTCTATAGTTAAAATCGATAAGTTACATAATTGTCCTATTTACCATTTTATTCAAAACCCTTTCATCAGAGGATATTTTATCGAAATAATTAATATAATATCGTTTAGATATGACAACATATATACTATATTAAGAATAAATTTTATTCTAGTCGATATGATGAAAAATAAGACTATGATATCGATTGATCATTTTAACTTAAGATAAACTATCTCAATATGTGAATAGACATTTTTTAAATAGAGTTATTTCTAAACCTTTTCATAGGACCTTTTTTCAACAAAAAAAAATAATTTTCTCAAGAGAAGATAAATGTCAAATAGAATATGTTCGAAAGATTTTCGAAGATCCGATAGCAACTTAAAATAAATCTTCGATTTAAATCGTCTAAACAAAAATCATCGGAACAACGTCAATTGTCATTTGTTTATAGAGATTATCGAGAGTTTTTTCCGATCGATCTTTTAAAATGAATTGAAATAGAGTAGAAGTTATAATTTTCGAAACATTTTGACACATCCATTATATAATATTAGTAAAAACTTCCGTTTGTTTAGATTTGTTAACAACAAAGAAAAAAGTTTTTGAATTTATTCGATCGATAGAAAAAAAGCAAGGATGCTTACATAACAAAAGAATTTTCTTTTTCGTAAGACTTTGTTTAAGTTTTATATCGAAATAATATCATTTCATATGAATATTTTATTTAAAAAAATATCTATTTAATCAACTTTTTTTTCTTTTTATAAACGTTTTTGTTTCTTTTGACATAGATTTATCAATATTAGATGTTAAAACGGACAAAAATCATTGTTCTAACTTTTATTTAAAATTTCTGTTAAAGTTAAAAAGTTTATTTAAATAGATAAATCTATTCGATATTTTAATTCGTTTTTAGTTGAATAGAAATGTTAAACAAGATATATATATACCAAATTAAATCATAATTCAAACTTTTTTTTTTCCTTTGTTTATTTTTATAGATAAAAAAATTGTTTTATCAAGATGATCAATAAAATTGATCGATCTATATATCATTTTTTGTTTAAATTTATGAAAATAACATCAAAATTCTTCGACATTGTTGAATTTTTTGAAATAATTTATTCTTTTATAAGAGCTCTTTCACCAACAATTATCTTATATCGATTTCAATTCAACATCTTTTTTCTAATTGTCTAATAAATTCGAAATATAAATGAGATTCATTTTTCTTTTTATAATAGAAATCAAACAAAGAGTAAAACGTAAAGAATTTTCTAAAAGAAATTTCTCTTAAATTGCTTTGATTCTATTCTAGAAAAAACTCATTTATATCTATTTATCGTACTGACAGAACATTATCATTGTATTAACCCTCGTTTTATAGAATTTTATCGAAAATTGTGCATTGACGTCAGATTCGATATTTTATTATGTGCTTATGTCAAGGTGCACGTTCATCAATTGACCTAAGACTATTCTTTATATAAGTTAGCTTCTTTTATTGTCAATATCCATTGACCAATCAATAGTCTAGATTTAAATACATGAAATTATTTCATTAGAGACAATCTTAAATTCTTCATCTTTTACTTTTTGTTTTATGTGTCTTATCAAAATAACAGATCTTCAATTAAAATAGAGATAAGAAGATTCTTCATCAATAGACCTATGACTATTTCATATAATGGTAGAACCGGTAAAACAGTTTGGAAGGAAGGTTATTTCTTTCCCCTGGAAACAATTTCTCGAAAGAGTTAAGCTTTCCTGACAGAAATATTTTTAAGATTCACTTCCTGTTTGAAAGTGAAAAGTAGATATTTTCTTCGTGTATAGTATGGGATTGTCTCATTTCTAGAGTAAGCTGAAAAATTTTTGGAGAAGAGTGAGCCTCATAAAACTACTCTCTCGATTTAATCCTAAAACATAAGTCAAAATACAATCGAATAGCTAACAATAATCATATTCATTTATATCCTAATTGGTTTATTCATCTTTCTCAACAAGATAATAGATTCAAGAATTTTCTTCTGAGGAGGAGAGAAGACTCGAACATTTTGACGGAGACTGAATCACTTCCTGGTTCCACCACTAGTTCAATATAAATTTCGATGTTGATAACTGTTCGAAAAGTTATTTTGATAGGCACTCATTTCTATAAGAGTTAGTTTTGAATGAACTGGTGCCACCATAAATCTGATATAAACCTATCGATTATATTTTTAATTATTTTATTCTAGTTGATATTTGTTGAGTGATGAAATCTCCATAAATAAAGCTAATGGAAAGTTCATACTAGAATAGATCGAATCGATTATGAAAAAAGAAATTAATCACTAGAGACAGTTATTCAATAATAAATCTTTAGTGGACCTACTTATCAAAATAAGTTTTTTTTTTTAAATTCTATTTGAATCCTATTACCTTTCAGTGTGGGATGAAAATCAAACATAGTAAAATAAAAGAAAATAAAATGAAAAAAAAAACAAGTCTTTTTCCTCATCAAAAGTGCAATGATGTCTCTTTGGTGAATTCTCCATACGATTGTCAATGGCCTCGTGCACTTTGACTGTTGTTCCAGATGGGATCTCCAACCGTCGAAAACATCGTTCGGATAAAATCCATCATTGTGCATATTGTATACGAAATGTAGGTTCCTCGATGAGCAGATTGTTGTTACTTTATATTTGGATATTGTTTTATTTACACGATAAGTTCTGATCATGGGTTGACATGATTAGTTATCCCTTATAGTTTGAAATATTTCTTAGATAATGAACATGTCAACCTTTCCTCTATATAACGATTTATTATTTCTCTTGGATTTAGTTAAGAATAGGATCGTTTTGTTATATTAGTTTATTTTCTAAAATCTATTTGTTATTTTATATTTTCAATAATGATCTTAATATCTAGTGATAATCGTTTAAATAGTCAATCTTTGCTGATTATCTGATGGTATTGATATCGATCTAGCCTATGTCGTCGCCAGTTTTCAATCTTCGATTTATTGATCCAATTAACATGTTCGAATCAATGAGGTCAATATCGGCTATAGGATATAAATAAAAAAAAGGACAAGCACTAGTTTTCAGGGGTTGTTTGTTGAATATTCTCTCATTAAAATGAAGACCAATCATAGTAGATAAACATTTGTGATAAAAGATAATAATTGATCATTTTTGTACTCTTGTCAAAGTTGATATATCAGTTTTGTAGAGCAAGATTATCATAACTGAGGCAAGATAAATTTCGAGTTTGGTTTTAATCGAGACTAATTTTTTCTAGACGAAATAAGACGACGCAGCATGTTGAATGGCGTTGATGTTTTCAAATTTCTTGTTTCAATTTGTTTTCTTTCTATTGATTAATCTTTTATGAGAAGACATCTCAGATAAGAAAACTCTTCAACATTTTCGATCGTTTTATGTTTAATTGAAATATCAATGAGGATTGTGTAAATTTGTTCATCCTTAATTATTTATCTTTCCTGGATTTTATTTGAAATCTATCAGTAAGATAATAAACGTTTTATTGATGTTCATTGACAAGCCGAAACCGTGAATCATTCTCTAGAAATAAGAATTGATCACTGTAGACAATTATCGAAAACTAACTGTTCAATCTAATCAGTTCTCAAAGAAAAAGAATCAATTGATAAAAACTAGTAAATATAAAATATTGATCTATGAAAAAGTAATAAATAGATAATCGTGCATGATAAATCGATACCTATTGAAAATCTTTAAAATATAATCATAAAATAGGATTTTAATAGTTTGACGTTGTTTGTTAATCTTGACTCGATCAGTTGTTATTAAATAATTGTTTAGATAAATCAACTTGAATAAGAAATTGATTTTCTATAGTTGATCATTTAATAAATATTCTCAATTAATCTTATTCTATTTTAAATCATAGCTAATAGAGAATTAAATATGAAACTCTAAAATCGTTTTAATAATAAAAGTCAATCTGTTTTGTTAAATATTGTTTATAAATAGTTTAATATAAATAATAAATAAAGATATTTATTATTTATTATTATGGATTTATCAAAAAATAAAATAAAATTTATATTTATTAAGATAAATCGAGAAAAATTACAAATTGAAGTTGATGAATATCGAGAAAAAATTGAATTATTTGAAGAAAATGTTCAACGTTTAAAAAATGAATGTCAACATTTAATTAAAGAAAATGATAAAAAAAATCTTTTATTAAATATAATTGATGTTAAAATAAAAAATTTAATTGGAAATAATTCAACAAATATTGAAAATAATTTAAATGAATTAGAAAAACAATGGAAAAATATTCAAAATAAAATAAATTCACTTGAAGATAAATTAATTGAACGAGATAATGGAACATTACAATTAACACAAAAACTTGAAGAACAAGTTTTTCATCTTAAACATGATTTAGATCAAAGACATAACTTATTTTTAACACAAAAAAATCAATTATTACAATCAAATCAAAATCATATTCAAAATTTAACATTACAATTACAAGTATTTTACATTTTTCATTTTTTTTTTTTTAAATTTATTTTAAATTATATTTTATTGATTTTAAGAAAATGGAAATTCGTGCAAATGAAAATGAAGAACTTTTAAAAATTTCTGATGAAACAAATAAAAAAAATGTTGATGAAAAAGATAAATTAAATATAATATTAAAACATATTATTTCATTATATGTTCCAATTCGTCAACGATATATTCAATTAATTGATTCAAATCGTTTTATTAAACAAGAATTAAATAAATTTAATAAAATAAAACAAATTCTTAATTCAAATAATTTAATTGAAAAAAAATCTTTTAGAATATATGTTATATCAATTATTGCATTTAATAGATTTTCTTTTTTTATTAATAAATCATCAATTAAATATATTTTTTCTTCAAATATTATTTATGATCAATATATTTTATCTTCATTTAATTTTCATTTTATTCAACTTATTAATATTGATCACATTTTTCAATCATTTTTTATTCAATTAAATAGATTTTATCCAACTATTACAAAAGGGTTTTTATCTTTCTTTTTATCATAACAATAATATTTCTTCTTTTTTTTTTGTTTTTTAGATCATTAATTAAATTAATTGCTGGAGGAGTTCAAACATCATCATCATCATCATCATATATTAAGGTTTGAATTTTTTACAATAGTTTTTTTATTTTATTATTTATTTCCTATATTAATCCTCTGACCTAAATGGTCTTAAAGGGATAGCTGTCTAATAACATCTATATACGATAAGGAGATATGTTAAACATGACCAACCAAAAAAAAAAACGAGAAGAAGAACAAAGAAACAAGAGAAAAGAGAAATGAGCGAGAACGAAAACAAACAAGAGAAAGGAAAAATAAAATGAAATAACAATAACAAAAAAAACCGAGTAATCATCTTTAAAGAGAATCAACAAGAGTAGACATAATGAAGAGAATTATTGATAACCGAATAATTTCAAGAGAAAAAACAAGAAACAAGTGCCACTAGAATCTCTATTGAAATTGAGCATAACATCTGATATATTCCATATTGATAATTGTTACTGAGTCAGATCAACTGTGATTTGATAACCAACTTAAGACACGGGCAAATACATCTACATCATAGACAAATCCTTTAGAATCGTAGAGACAATCAATTGGTCTTCTTCTTTGATGCCACTTCGAACGACTTGCATTTATGACACGGATCATCAAGCGAATCCTCGTCGTGAGCGAACGCGAAAAATAAATCATTCCAATAATGACAGTAATATGCTCGTTTAACCAATCTATAATAAAAATGACTTAGATTTGGTCGCTACAAATCTGTGAACAAGGAGAAAAGCGGAAAAAGCCATGTGAAAAAAGGTAATACAAATGTTGAGAATAGAACTCGATGAAGTATAGTGAAGGCTGACCTATCGAGTTGACCATCGCAGTTTGTTGACAAATCTTTATTTTGGCATGAGTAATGACTTGTTCTCATCCAAGTTTCGTCGTTATCCAGTAGCCTAAATACTTATATGATTTCGCCCATTCAATTGAATGGTCACCATATTTGATAGCTAGCATCGGATTTGGATAACCCACTGCTCGTGCAGACCACATCACTTGAACTTTTGAATAATTAATCGGCTGAACAGCAAGAATCGAGTAGTATTTCAAGTAGTTGAAGAACGGATGCAGTCGTCCTTCTAGGTCGATGCATTGTGCAGTATATTTAATTCATATTTGACCGGCAATAACAGCTGCTAAAGCCACCGACACATTAGAAGATCTCATTCCCCCTCCTTCCTTGAACAAACGACGCAAAAGACAGTTTAGAAGACTACCCTCTGCAATTTTGGTCAAGCTCGTTAGATAGAGCTAAATGTCTACTTTCGAATACACTATAGTTTATTGATTTTATGATCAGATTTAAGGATATTCCACAGGGTTTTCTCAACCTGCCATACACGAAAATAACCTTTTTTCTCAAAATAGAATTTTTGATTTTTACGTTTTCGTGCGTCCCAGATTTCTTTGCCATTTTAAACGCCAGAAAAGTCGGGCTGGTTTTAAAATGTAGCCAATATGTGGCGCTACAACTTAACAGAGGCGGATTTTTCGATTTCTTCATTAATCTTTATAAGAAATTAACTTTTCTCGACCTAATCCCATTGGCTTTTTCATGTTTCATCAGAGAAATTCTTTAAAAACACAAGCTAGGAGAGAATCGAAAAATGATGCCCTGTTAAGTGGTAGCGCCACATATTGGCTACATTTTAAAATCAGCCTTTTTTTGTTTTGAATATGCGTTTTTGTTGTTTACATCCGTAGAAAGTTACGAGATTTTTCAGATAAGTTTATATAGATGCCAAGAAAATAAAATAAACCATGAAAAGATGTCTTAAGTCGCAACAAATGTATTCATAGATTCCCTAGAGTCTTTCTTTATTCATCTACGGATGACAGAACTTAAATAAGCAATTATATTGTTAATGTATTAAAACACTTAATGACTTTTAGTGATGATCAAGTACATCAAATTTAATCTAAAATAAATATTTCTTCCATACAAAACATGCATGATGTTATTAATCTTGATTCTTCACCACATTCCAAACATATTCAACTAACCAATTTCCCTTTTATTTCATCTGATTTATCAAATGTGGTTCGATCTTTTCCATATTTTTCAGCAGAAAATATTATTTCGAATTTAAATTTTATGCAGATTTATAATACTTAAAATCATTCGAGTCCAAGCCAGAGATGAGCAAAGAACAAAATTTTCTCTTCTGCCCTATCCTCCTAGCTATCTTGCTTCTCGTCGGTGGTAGTACAGGACAGAAATAAAAATCTTGTCTATCCTCTTTTTCTTCCGCTAATTTTTCTGTCCTAGCGGGCGGAAGGACAATAAGTCACGATTTTTGCAGTTTTTCTGTCAAATAGATCGGTTTTCAGAGGTTATAAAATACCTAAAGTGAGAGTTTTACTATTACTTTCATTTTATAAAGCGAATATCACCAGTTAATATTTTCTAATCAATGCATTTTATGGTATTTTCAAGAAAAAAAAATATTAGAGATGAGCACAGGACAAGGCTTTTTTACCCGTCCTGTTCTGTCTTGCCGGGCGGCAGTAGAGGACAGAAACCAAGATCTTGTCCTGCCCTGTTTTTATCCTGATAACTTTTTTTGTTCTGATGGGCAGTAGGACAGGATAACAGAGCCGTCCTGTCCTGTACTCATCTCTGGCTCAAACATATAAGTGGAAATGAAAATTAAAGTCTTACTTATCTTTAAATGAGTTTTAAAAATTTTCATTTTCGGTTCGGTTCGGTTTAAATTTTGAAAAACTCGAACCGTACCCATATTTGATGGTAACTCTTGCTAGACTTAATCTATCGAACTGAAATTTTTACTGTGAGATGTCTAGATCGAGATACACCTCAACTAAAAATTTCATCATGATTGGATGATCGAAAAAAAAATTTCATTTTAGAGGGGAGACCTCGTTATGTACATATCAATATCGAAGTTAAGCATGGACTATATTTTGCTGCCGTCATCTTAACAATGCGTCAATTCTAAGCTGGACACACCATAAGACAAAACTAATAAGAAAGGACGGTTAATTAGAAAGTGCGTTTCTTTACTAAAGAAAGTGCGTTGGAATCATTCTACTACTCATTTCAATTATGTTCTCAAGAAACTTTTAAGGTTTTCTATAGGAAAAATTCGTTTCTACCTTTACAGAATCTAATTAACGCGACACGCATATAAACATATCAGACACAAAGAGATCTTTCTGAAACGAGAAGGTATAGAATAAAATATCGTTGTATATTACTTCAAACGATGTTCTACCTATAGACTTTCTTCTAGAAATTCGAGCAAGTTCTTATCACGGAAGAACTCATTCATAATTGGAAAAAACATATCTCCAAAAACATACGTTGAGTCGTGTTCTATGAAATAAACCTTCTATAGATGAGAATGGATTTCTTATTAGAAAAAGATACAAAAGCACTGTTTAAAATAGAAATAAACGATTGTAAAAACGCTCTCAATATGTATTCAACAATTTTTTATATATAAACTATTTCTTAGTGGACAACCACACTCATTCAAATCAGTTATAAACTAATAATTCAGACCATGGTAGATTTCACTGTGAACACGTTTCAGCTATACTAGTCAAATCTCAAAATAAGCAAGAAAAATACCGCTATTATAAATCGTGCCAACGTTTTACGATATGTTGTTTGTAGTGTTCCGAGAACAATCTCCTTACCAAAAATTGTTTTTTTTTGCACTGAAAATATCATTTATTCCTCTTTTATTATACGAGCGTCGGTTAAGTAAGATAAACTCATTTATCAATGATGAATTAGGCAAAAAAGCATGAGATTGAGAAACTGTCATTGAAATCATCAGAAAATATGACTCTTTTTTACCGACATAATAGAAGACGTCGTGTCTTCTAACGCGTCCATGGGTTTAAATCATCGACAAAGAAAAAAGACATGGCCATCGGAAGAATATCTCCCATATATCAGCATGAAATCTGATGAAGAGAGTCGAAGTAAAACTGGGTCTTTGAGATCCACCTCGACGAATTGAAATCTAACGGGATCGTTTGTCCTGAATCTCTATCGTACATCTTCTATCTTCGAGCCAGGCTCGAATCCATTTGACAAAGACAATTGGGATGATCATTCTAACTAATTTTCTTCTAACCGTCTTCGAATCATAATTGATCAAACGCACTCTTAAAATCAACGAAAATTGTAGCCACTGGTGAGCTTTGACATATTAGAAGATATTTGTTCGATTAGAAGTACGACACGAAATCCAGATTGATTATCGGATAAAATTCGTCGAACTTGAGTAATTGAAGTAATTGTGATGTCTAGGCATGGAAGAATGACTGATCAGTCCAGTTCACTTTTTTAAGTAGACATTAGATTAGGATTTAAATCCGATGTTTCCATATTTATTTATAATCATATCCGATACCAGTAGGTTTTTCATAATAAATGAACATATTTTATTTCTAATGATGATTAATTATTGAAAATTAATAAGAGATTCATTTCTTTTTAAATATTATAATAATTATTTCTAGACATTTGACAATAAAATAAAATCTTATCGACTTTAACTTTTATAGATTTTATATCTATAATATATTCGATTTCTCGTTACGACACTCTTATATATTATCTTATTATATCATATTATCTAAATATCATTTTTTGTTTATTAACTTATTAGAAAAAAATGTGAAAAAGAAAGAAAAAGGCGATCTTGAACATAAACTATGATAGAATATAATAAATATTTCGATTTATATAAGGAGATTGATCAAAGATAATATAATGTTTTATTGATCAATCGATATTCTTTTTAAAAAAAATCTTATCTATATGATGAAATGATATATAAATAATTAATTCTAATCAGTTAAAATTTGATTTAAATAAATAAAATAATATTTTTCGATTGTTTTAATATAAATAGTTAATAAGTAAATATATTTATTTTTAGAGTTGTGATCATCTTCATTCATTAATTCATCGTCTTGATCAATCAGGTAAAATAATTAATTTAATTTAAAAATAATAAATAAAAATAAATAAATAAATAAATAGAATCAAAAATTCGTGAAAAAGAAATTGAATGTTCAGATCTTCGAAAAAAATTAAAAAATATTCAATGTGAAAATGAATCTCGAATTGATTATTATAAATTTGAACGTATTTGTGATGAATTACAACGAGCATTAGATAGAGAAAAACAAGCACAAGATTTACTTAATCAACAAAATAATCAATTAAAATCTTTAACTGATATTCTTCATCAAACACAAAAAGAAAAAGATTTTATTCAAGATAAATTTAATCAAATTAGTTTAAATGAAATTTGTTCAAAAGATAAAATTCAACAATTAACTAAAGCTCAACAACAAATGGATGAAAATGTTAAAAGAGCTGAAAAAGCCATTCGTCTTGTTGTTAGGTAATCATTTTATTCAATTTAATAACAAAAAATTTCTTTTTTTCTCTCTTATTATTTAAGTGATAAAGACCAAATATCATCTTATTGTAATAGAATTAATTCAGCATTAAATCTTAGTGAAAAATCTGGATTTGAATATGTTGAACAATTAATTAGTCAATTGGATGCACTTGTTCAACTTTCACCTAATTCCGATCAATATAATAAATCTCCACCGGAAATTATTTCATGTCAAGTAAACACTTTTTTTTTCTTTTTCTTTTTCTTTTTTTTAAATTGTTTTTTTCGTTAAATAGACAATGGTTATTGGATTTGTTAATTTATTAAATCGTCTTAAACAGTTAATAATAAATAATAATAATGATATTCAATCATTAAAAGAACATTGTCAAATGTTAACAGAACAATTTCGTCAATTATCTCAACAAGATATATCACAAATTGATTCAACCCAAACCGTTATTCTTCAATCTTATCCTCTTAGACTTCAAGTTAATCATCATCCTCAATCAGCTTTTAAACCAATTAAACCTCAACAAGATTAACATCACTTCTTTTTTTATTCTCAATTTATTCAATTGTTAACTCACTTTTTTTCTTTAAACATTTTTAGTCTAGAATTATTACAATTTAATCATAGAATCTATTCGAAGAATTTACTCGAAAACTATATTAAATATCGATCTAGAAAATCTAGTAGATATTTGAAATATTCGAGATACTCGAGATATAAATATATTGAAAATATTGGCTAACTAGTGCAGATAATCTTTATATAGTTATTCACTTTTAATAATGGTCGATTCAGATATATTTATAAAAGTTGCCAACCCTTGCTAGAATAAATAAATGATAATAAATAAGTAACTCTTTCCTATATATCGAATATCTCGAATATGTCTATATATCATTCATCGATCTTTAATTCAGTTTTAAAATAAACTCTTCGAAGAGATCTTACCAATTTGACTCTTATTGACACATTTTTATAAAATAAAGATAAACCTTTTCAATAGATACTAATTTATATTTGAGTTAATTATTTCAATAATATACTAGAATAGAATTTATCAAACGTTTTTTTTTTTCAAAGATTATTAAAAAGATTGAATTAAATCTAATTATTATTTCACTCGATTTCACTTTGATCAACTAGTTTTTAAAGAAATATTTTCAAAGAAAAAATCTTCAATTCTCAAATTTTTTTTAATTAACAAAAGATTTTTTTATTGTTGATTGTGGTTCGAACATAACAAGACTAAAGAAATTTTCAAGAAAAAAAAATATCGAAAAAAGAGATTATTCATCATTTTATTTGATTAATTCTTGAAAAAACTCATAATTAAAATAATAGAATTCAATTTATCAATATTTATCAGAAATTTATTTATCGTCATAATTAGATCAAATTTCCTTAACTATAAACAGATTAAAAATAAAAGATGACTTTACTTTTTTTCAAGAATTTTTTATAGGAAGAAGATAGAAACCTGACATTTTTACCATTATCAAGAGTGATATACAAACGATCGATCTCGATTTTATTTCTTAAAGATAAATATTGACATTTTTATAGATGATTTCAGATCGATAGTTATTTATTTTTATATTTTATTCAATATTGACAATTATCTCAAATTAAATCATATTTGATTATTTCTCAACTTATTATTCCAAGGAGATTTACAAAAAAAGTCTGATAATATAATAGGTAAAAACGGTTTATTTCAGATAGATTATCAAATATGATTTAATTTGAGATAATTGTCAATATTGAATAAAATATAAAAATAAATAACTATCGATCTGAAATCATCTATAAAAATGTCAATATTTATCTTTAAGAAATAAAATCGAGATCGATCGTTTGCATATCACTCTTGATAATGGTAAAAATGTCAAGTTTCTATCTTCTTCCTATAAAAAATTCTTGAAAAAAATCAAAGTCATCTTTTATTTTTAATCTGTTTATAGTTGAGAAAGTTTTATCTAATTATGATGAAATCGATCTATAATGAAAAAAACTCTCTAATCATAATTGAATTGTTTAGATAAATAGTTAATAATTGTAATTAATTTAAAAAAAGTTGATGTCGATATAGATTTCTATTGGTTAATGATGATATTTTAGAATATCTATTATAATAATATTTTTACTTATTTATTTTGACTTAGTTGATATATATTCGAAAATAAAAATGAATATTTTATTGATTATTGTTCATATACCTTTTATAAACATGATAAATAAAAGAGAGGAATATTTACTTTTGAAAAAGGTCTTTAATCATATTAGTATAAATATAAAGGGAATATTCGATCGCTAATCGATCAATTAATTTATGATAAAATTATTATTTATTGATAATCTTTAATCAAATGAGATAATAATAATATTCTTCGATGAAATTATCTTGAAAAGTCGATTAAATTGAACTAGTTAATAATGATTGAGTAAATTGTTTAGATAGAATCTATTTATATAATTAAATAGAATTGGTTGAATCATCTAACAATAATATTTAATATATTATTTCTATATAATTAATAATAATAAATGTTCAAACTAATCTTGTTGATTTAGTTAAATATGTTATATAAATGATACGATCGATGAAATAATTCATCATATTCGATTCTCTTCTAGAATTTATTTAATAAATATTCAATCAGATTCAAGTTAATCAATGAAAACAAAATATAAATAATGGTCAATTGATTTTTTTTTGTTTTTTATTTAAAATAGTAAAACTAAAGATTATTCTATAATAAGACATTTATCTTATTTATGTTAAAAAGAAAATGTTTATATATTCAATTAATTGAATTATGTTTAATAAAGATAAATATTATTGATTAGGATATTTTTTATTCAAACAAATTCATTTGAATATAATTGTGTAGTTATAAATGTATTCTCTCTTTCTCAATCGAAAATCTTCACCTTTTTCGTTTCAGATTTTTGATATTTTCTATGGAGATTTAAATATCTTCTATCTAATTATCACATTTTAACAACGAAAAACGAGTCTTTCCCATGGGAAAAAAACTTAAAAACGTTTTTTTCAAAATCAGATTTTCAAATAAAAAAATCAAGTTTTTCTCCCCATTTTCTCCTAGACGGTTCTACCGATTGGGCTCAAACGTTTTTTTTTTCTAAATAGTTCGATCAAATTGAAGTGTGTGTGTGTTTTTTTTTTCTCTTGACAAGATTCTACTTATGACACTTTGGTAGATTTTAGAAAATGATCACCATTCGAAACAAAAATCTTTTTTTCATTCGTCTTTTTGATAGTGTCTACAATATTTTCCTTGTTCTCACTCCTACAAACAATTTTTTTCAAATAATTATTAAATAGACATCGAGATTTGTTCTTTGTTGATACAGAATAAATTTTAGCCCGAAAAAATAGAGTAGGGATCTTTGTGGGGGGGGGGGGTGTAAAGTTCAGGTGATTTTTGATGATTGACCTATAAATAACTCTCCTAAGAACGGATTTGAGAAGTTTGAGTCTGTTAGAAGTATAATTCTAGTTGTTAAGATCTATTTATTCTGAAAGTTTGAAAAGTTTTCGTCGAACGATTGTCAATAAAGGTGGAAAAGGAATCTCGTTATATATAAAATGAAGTTTTTTTTATTCGAAGAATATTTATATATTTATTTGATTTATTTCTAGATAAAATTGTTTATTTATTAAATTGACATTGAATGATAAATAAAATTATTTTCATATATTCGTTATTGGTTTAAATTGAATATGAAAATTTATTTTAAATAAATATTGAAAAAAACGAAAGAGAATTAAAACATATTTGATTTGTTTTTTTTTCTATTATATATCGAATATGATAAATAAACGAAATATAATATTTTATTTATTTCAATAAAGAAGATTATTTGTTAATATTAGTTTCGATTTATGTTAAAAGAAAAAAACAATGACAAACAAGAATTTTATTCTAGATATTGTTGTTATTATTATCAATATAATAAATCAATTAATGTTCTGCTAAATAGACATCACTTGAATATGGAGGTAATGAATAAAACATTTTATCATTTTTCACATTTCTATATAAAACAAAGAAATTTTTAAATAAATAAATAAATAAATAAATAAAATATTATAAAATTACATATTATTTTGATTAATATTAGGTGGTGGTTGAATATAAAATGATAAAATAAATGATGAAAGAGCATTTATTAATGATATTATAAAAGCAACAAGAGCAATCCACCATGAAAATGATAAATAACCAATATAGGAAGATTTTCCTTGAAGAGCAAATAAACAAATTGTTGATGATGTAAATATAACTTTAAAAAAAAAAAAGGATTTATTTTATAGAAAATAAGAATCATGCTTTTTTGTTTTTAAATAAAACCTGTTATAAAGATTGATATTGAAGATCCAAAAAACAATAAACCGATTGATCTTTGTGTTAATCCAGTAAGAAATAATATTCCACCTATTATATAAAAAATGAAAGCAACGATTTCTAATGATTGACTTGTTCGAATAAAATCTTTAATCAAAATTTTAAATAAATAAATAAATAAATAAATAAATAAATAAATAAATAAATATACCAGGTGGACCAAGAAAGCCACTATTTGTTATATTAGTTAGATAAACTCGAGCATTCCAATCCGAACAACGATCATAACCAATTATCTATTATAAATAAATAAATAAATAAATGAATTAATTAAAATAAAACTAATCAAACTTGAATATCACATAAACGCCATAAACCAATTTTAACTGGAATTGATGTATAAACAATCCAATCAGGTAAAGAAAATGATATTAAATAAAGAATTAATGAGATAAAATAAGATGATAGAGATATCCAAAGAGTTGTTTGACCAATTCTACCAGATACACGAACAAAATTCATTTTTAATAAAAAAAAAACACAAAATGTTCTTTTTATTTAAACTTGTTGAAATGAATTGTTTATAATATCGGTCAGGTCAAGATCATTGATGCGTTAAATATACATCAACCATTTTTCTTTTTCAACTATATTCATTTTTTCTTTTTTTTTTATTGATCAAACAATTTATTTCATTCAATATAAAACAACTTATTTTAAAAAACAAATCAACACTCAATCACACATTTCATTTCCATTTCAATATTTTATCTTAAAAGAAGTTAATAAAAACAAAACTAAAAAGTTATTTTCTGTGTTTTTTAAATCTCTGATATATTTAAAAATGAATTCTTTATATAAAAAATCAAATTTTCTAAGATATTATTGGTTATTAAAGAAAAAAGTTCATATCGATTTGTCAGTTTTGTTTTGTTTATTTTCTTTTAATATAATATTAATTAGAATTGATTTAGATTTATTTCAGGGAAATTTGTTTTTCTTTATTGGTTCAATTATTTCAATATCTAACTAACTAACTGATCTCAAATATTTTATTCAAAATATGTTTTTCATATTTTATTTGAAAAAAAAAATTTCTTGAGGATCTATTAAATAAAATCTATTCTTTCAATTATTTTCAATTATTGATTTATTCATATTTGTTTTATCTTTTGAAAATAATCGATTAATTTATATATATTAAAGGAAACAAAAAGCACCGACTTATTGATCATATATATTCTATCGAATAATAAATTTATTTATTTATTTAATATATAGGATAGAAATTGTTTATTAATTAAATTATTTCTATTCAATAATAAAGATGAGTAAATTTTAAAGAGATTTATTATTGAAGATAATTTTCTTTATTCGACATTGAGTCAATTCAATCTATAATAGAATATTAATAAAAATTTTTGATTTTATTTATTTAATTTATCTCAATATAAACATCACTTAGATTAATATCGAATTTATTATTTATCAATAATCAATATTCTTTGAAAAAAAAATGAATTCATTGAATATAGGATTTATCTATAAAAGGTTGAATTAAGAAAAAAACGATTTCTTATTATTGAATGGAAAATAAATAAATATAAAATATTTATTTTAAATTAAAATCTTATTATAAAAACAAAATCGAATTCTAATTATATCATTGTCACCATTATTGATTTATTAGTTTTTAAATCGTTATCAGATTTAATATCGAATAGATATTTGATTAATTATTTTCTCTCCTTTTTAAAAAATAATATATTATTTGAAAAATTGATAAATTTTTATTTAAATTAATCAAATTGAATAAGTTGAAAATTAATTTGAATAAAAAAAGAAAAAGTCTCCTAGAATATAAATTAAAGATAAAATAAATCGAGAAAAAACTCTTCTCTACTTATTAATATAAAAAGAAAAAAAAAAGTTGCCTATATATATTCTTAAATGATTTAACAAGAATTATTTTATTCTCAATCATCAAAAATAATCTTAACCAAACATTTTTTTAATAGATAATTATTATAAAAGACTTTTTTTTTTCTTAAAAACTCAAATAAAACAATAATTTTCTTTATTTATTTTTCAATAAATAAAAAATAATATTAAACTGAATGCAATAGATAATTATTTCTATTGTTAAACATAGAATAAGAAAAAAAAATAAAGGAGATTTAAATAAGTTAATTTAAATAAAAAAAAAAAAAAAAAAGGTGAGTATAAAATAAAGTTGATAATGGTGATTGGTATATAATATAATTGATAATAAATGTCTATTTATCTTGAATGAATTAACTGTCATATGAATTATCTTATTTATTATTCTCATATGAGAATAGAAAGAGTCTATTATATATTTGACATCATCATCAACATACGTTTAAAGACAATCATCATAAAATGAATCTTAGCTTGAGGCACAACACTGACAAGATTATTCAAGGATGCTTTTTCTTTTTTTTTCTTTTATTATATTGACATCATTACACACACTCTCCATCTATCTCTTTTTATTTCATAACATTTCTTTTTTTTATTCAACTCTATTTTAATGGTTACATTATATATAAGAATAATAAAAAGAAAAAGATTGTTATTGTCATTGTCGATAAGTGATGAGTATATATCGTTCGATACGGTAAGATGAACACATATATAACCTATTTCAAATTTAACAATGTATTTCTATTGGCGTTTTTTTTTTGAATCGAGAAAAGAAAAAAAAGATTGATTGTTGTCGGTTAACTACCCTAGGGTGGTGATGTCTTCAACTTAATAAGAATAACAAAGTAGAGTAATACCCTAGTTACTCATTGATTCCATTCTTTTTAGATAAACTTTTTTTTCTTCTTTTTTTTTTGTTTAGAAGTTATTTGAAAAGTTCAATTTTATTTTCATTAATAATAGCTTTTATGCAAAAGACTTTTTTTCTTCTTTTAAATCGAATTCATATAGTTAAAGTCAATTTAGTTCATTAGATATTTGACACATGCCAGTTGTTCTTTATTGTCATTCTTAGTCAACATTCTCTTTGTTCAATAGAATATATTAATCATTGAAGACAATTAACATATTCATCATTCTATAGACATTACTCTTATTCTTCTTCTTATTCTTTATCAACAACCTTTTTACTAATTGACATTATCATCGGATATATATTTATCTTCTTATTACTCGATTTTATTTATTTTCCCATCCTTTCAGATTGATGACGACATTCAATGTTATTAATCTTAATAATATTCGTTGAATTAATAAATGGTATTTATATGACAAATCAATTTATTGAAGAACCAGAAGATATTGAAACAATAATTGGATCAACAATAATTCTTCGTTGTCGAACAGAACCTATTCATCAAACTCAAGTTAATTGGTGTAAAAATGATTTTTGCACATTAGGAAAAACACGAGATTTACCATTTTATCCTCGTTATCAAATTATTGGACATGCTCATCAAGGTTTTTGACATTTGTTTTGTTTTTTGTTTTAAAATAAATTTCTAATATAATTAAAATTAGGTGAACATCATTTTAAAATAGTTAATGTATCATTAGAAGATAATGGAATGTATCAATGTCAAATTCAAGCTGGACCTCGAAGATCTGGTTCAATGTCACGAAAAGCTAAATTAACTGTTTTACGTATGTTTAACATTTAATAAAAAAAATGTCGAATGAAAATATTGAAATAAATTTGAATTTAGAAATTCCAACAAGTTTATCAATTGATAATCCAATAATATTAATAGAAAATGTTTTATCATTTATTATATGTCGAGGAGATAATGGTATGCCTGAAGCTAAACTTTCTTGGCATATTCCCAAATCAATAAATTATTTATCAATAAATGATTATGTTCTTTTATCTGGTCAATCATTAAGAAATTCAATATCAAATTTAACATTAATACCAAATAGATCTTATCATGGTATATTAATTCAATGTCAAGCACATTCATCTGCTATTTTATTAAATAATAAAACAATGATAACTCAACAATATATTCAAACCATTTGTAAACGTTTTTTTTTATTTTTTATTTTCATATTTATTAATTTTTTTCTCTTTTATTTTAAATCTAGTTCGACCTGAAATAAATATTAGTTTAATTGGTCAACAAATAGAAAATAAAATAATAACTATTCAATGTTATGTTAATTCTCGACCAAAATTAATTAAAATCGAATGGTTTAATGGAACTGATTTATTAAATGTAACTAATGAAAATCGTTTATCATTTATATTAACAAGATATATGCATAAAAATAAAATAACTTGTCAAGCAACAAATCAAGTTGGAAAAACAAATCAATCAATAGAACTTTATATTACTTGTATGAGAGATTTCTTTTTTTTTTCGTCATCTATATAAATAAATAAATAAATTTATTTTAGATAAACCAATATTTATAGATAAATATGGAAATAAATTAAATAATTATTCAGTTGTATTAGTTAATGAAGGAGAATCAATTGAATTAGAATGTTTTATTGATTCATCTCCATCATCATTAATAACTTGGATATTCAATAATAAAATAATATCAATAAATAAAACATTTTTTCAAATAGATTATATTCAAACTATTCAACATATTGGCATTTATATATGTTCTGCACATCATTCTTTTTTTGGAACATTTAATAGAACTATTCGACTTGCATTAAAAGGTTTCACTTTTTTTTTTAAAAAGAAAACAAAATTTAGTTTTATTTTATTTCTTTTAAAGGACCACCTGAAATGATTGAAGATAAAATAATTGATTCCGTTTATGTTGGACAATCAGTGATACTTGTTTGTTCGATTTCAAAAGATATTCCTATTCAAGTTTTGTTTTTTAATTTTTACAAAAAAAAAAAAAAATCTTTTTTTGTTTTTAAATATCTTAGGAAATATATTGGTCACGAGAAGATCAATCAAAAATAATTTCAAATGAAAAATATGAAATAAATGAAAATGAAAGTGATAATATAATTAAATATAAATTATTAATTAAAAATGTATTATTATCTGATAATGGTTATTATATATGTACAGGAATAAATCAATATGGTTCATCAATAACTAAATATCAATTAAGAGTTATTCATATAAATCATTTATTAATTCGACCTTTTTTTTTATATGGATCAATTATAATTGGTATTTTTATTTCTTTTATTTTAATTATTTTAGCATTAATTAATAATTATCAACAAAAAAAAACAAAAAGAATAAGAAAAAAATCTTCAACAACAGATGAAACAATATCATCTTTAACTAAACAACAAGAATATGTTCAACATGATTATCAAGATGAACCTAATTCAATAATTGATCAACAATTTATTCATAATCATACAAATGTAACTTTTTATTAGATTTATATATATATTATTTGTTTCTTTTTTGTTTTAAGGATATATTCGATTCTTGTCAACATGATTTATTTTATTTCGAAAACAATTCAAAAAGATATTCAACTGTTGTTTAAATAAATCATTATTCAATTTAATTATTTAATAGAACAATCTTTTTTAATTATTATTCAATAAGAATGATTTATCTCTCAGACTGACATTTAATTATTATTCGATTCATTTTAGATGAATAAATCAGACGCATTTTTTTTTTCTTAACAATATTTCATTTTTTTTTTCGAACACTTTTCTGTAAACACTCAATATTTTATCTTGTTTTATCGTTTATTTATCGTCAACAAAATAAAAAACCAATATTGATTATGCGAAAAAGTAAAATCATAAATTGAATGAAAATAATTAAAAAAAAATCCTGTGAACAATGATTACAATATAGTTATTGTTTGCTCACACACATTAATCAGTGAAGATCGTCGATCATTGACATACATTCAATGTCTGTAACATCTCTATTTAATAATAAATCGAATAAATACCATCTATTACACTGTAAAACAAGCATAGAATAATAAATCCTGCTTAAGAATTTATCAGACTAACAAACATTTTCTAGATATTATTATTTGACTTGGTTTTATTGGGTTGCCAAGAAAGTTTTTGCGTTTTTTTCGAACATTTTTTTGTTTGTTTTTTAACTTAAAGAATACAACTAGCTTTCAACAATATACGCTCCATTACTATCTATGGCTGGTCGACAACGCTCTGATAGTGAAAGGATCTCCCGCGTTCGTAGAAATCCTGGGACTTTTGGCCGAAAAAGTTAGCGAGGTCCATTTCGAGGTCGTTTTCATCGGCGAATTTTTTCTCGCACAAATAGTTAGAGAGAGAACGGAACAAATGGTAGTTCGTAGGAGCCAAGTTTGGAGAATAAGGTGGATGTAGAACCGTGGTCCATCCGAGCTCCAATAATTTTTCACGCATCGATTTTTCAATGTGAGGTCTAGCATTGTCATGCAAAAAATAAATTCTATCGTGCTTTCCTTGGAATTTTTACTGCAAATTGGTCTAATTGCTGACAATAGAGATCAGCAGCGATGGTGCAACCAGTTGGAAGAAGTTCCCAATGAATAATCCCTCTTATTCCCCACCAGATGCTCACCATAATCTTCTTTGGGTGAAGGTCATCTTTGGGTATTGCCACAGCTGTTTGTCCAGCTTCCAGTCATTGCTGCTTGCGTGTGTGGTTAACATACAACACCCACTTTTCATCGCCGGTAATAAGATTATGGAGCCATTGGTAGTTGCGATGAGGCGTCATTAATTCCATATAGGCGTCAACTCTGTATTGGAGCTGATGTGTTGACAGATATTGTGGTATCCAAACTTCATATTTCCACGTTTACCCTAATTCGCTCAGATGTATTTTCACTGTAGTATGAGCGCACCCAAGACGCTCTGCTAAACACTATGTAGTCAATCTAGGATCTTCTTTGATAAGCTGCTTTAAGTCATTCATATCCACCTCTAATAGTCTTTCGGAACAAGGTAAATCGTCGAGTTCGGAGTTACCATTTTTGAACTGATTGAACCAATGTTATGCTGTATGAATGGAGAGCGCATCCTTGCTCATCGTGCTGCATATGTTGCTTGTTGCTTCTGTTGCTTTGTGACCCAGACGGAATTCATGAAGCAGAAGCACTCGAAGCTCTCTACGAGATATTTTCATTTCTAATTCAAGGTCAACATCCATATCCATAGTTTTGTTGTTCTTTGAAAGATATTCGTACCTCCTTCATATACCCTTAGCATGGAAACTTCTAGAACTTTCTTGATTGTTCTAGGAAATTTTTAAAAAAATCCAAAAACTTTCTTGCCAATCCAATATTTACTTTCTTTCCAAAGTATATTGTAGACTTGATTATGAAATTTCAAGTGATAAAGCTATACTAGGCAGGGTTGGAACCGGTCCGGCCGGACCGGTACCGGACCGGACCGGACCGGTTGAAGAAATCGACCGGGCCGGTAAAGACCGGAATTTTACCGGTTGAAAGTTTTCAGAAATCTTCTTTGTTAACCCTGTTTTTGACCATAAAAACTAAGGTATCACATGTTTTTTCTGTCAGAATACGTGAAAAAGTACTCAAAATATATGTTATATTAATCGTTTTTTCTGAGGTTCTCTTTAAAAAGATTTATTATGATGAGTGCCTTTTACATGCGCCTTAAACTATTTCATATTTGGAGCCATTTTTTCTAAAAATAGGTTTTCAAAAAAAAATTCGACATTTTTTCACCGGTTTTTAACCGATTTTCACCGGAATTTCACCGGTTGGACATGTGATTCCAACCGGCCGGTTTCCGGCCGGACCGGACCGTTTTAATATTTCTCAACCGGTTCCACCCCTGATACTAGGAGACTTTGATGTTTCCAATTTTCAAAAGTAATGTTGTCAGAACCATTTGAACTTGTGATGATGCATCACGAAAATGAAAACGATAGTATGATAATTAGGGCAATCCAAAAGTAGTGTCGTCATTATCTTATTTCTCTATAGAAAGCTTGAAGAAATTTTTGTTTCTTAATGTAGTGATAGAGAAAACGATGCTCTATTTTTCTGTGCTTATTTGATCAGTATTCAACTAATATCATAATAATAAAATTTCAATAAGAATTGTTTTGGTATGCAACTTCACTATCGGGTGAGACAGATTAATATGCTTTTCATTTCAATTTTCAATCACTTAATATGTCGTATTAAAAAACAAAATATACCAGAAGATGCAGCGTGAAAAGTTCTACAATTTACAAAAGAACAGTTTCTTTTATATATGAAATAAGAAAAACATTACTTTTTCGGGCCAGCGAAAGTTGATCGCACAGAATTTTGGTTTTTTTTCTGAAAACAAGAAGTACACAATTAAAGTAAGCTTTACTTTGTAGATTGTAGAACTTTTCACGCTGCATCTTATGATTTTTTTTGTTTTTGTTAAATAAAAGATATCAGGTGACAAAAAGATGCAATAAGAAAAAATGAATTTATCTCTTACCAAAAAATATCGTTTCCGCATGGCCAAAAATTGGTCCCACAAAATTTTGTTTATTTTGAAAACAAAAACGTGCAATTATAAAATAAGCGGTCTTTTGTAAATTGTAGAACTTCTCGCGCTGTAACTTGTGGTATATTTTGTTTTTTAATACAATACATTAAGTGGTTAAAACATTTAACCGGCCTCACTCGTTAGTGAAGTTTCACACCAAAACAGTTCTTATTGAAATTTTATTATTATGATATTAGTTGAATACTGATCAAATAGTACAGAAAAATAGAGCATCATTTTCTCTATCACTACATTAAGAAAGAAAATTTCTGCAAGCTTTCTATAGAGAAATAAATTAATGACGACACTACTTTTGGATTGTCCTAAGTAGTTTCAGAGGATAAATATTTCTCTTGTTGATCATATCTACTGACATCCATCTCAACTGTGTATACAATGATGCAAAGACGATCTTACTAAAATCAATCTAATTATGATTAAAATATTGCTCCGTTCAATCATTCTATGCTAAATATAGAAGTTATTGTATCTAAACAGTTTCGTGCAAATTCTATTTCCATTAAAAACACTAACTATAGATTCTTTCATTGGACACTATTGAAACTCATCTAGTCGGATCGAATCAATCTTGAAGAATAGTGAAATGAGACTAGTCAATTCATCGTTAGATAACTCTTATTGGCATTCGACCGTTATTTGTTGCAAAAATAGCTTTTTTTCTTACTTTCATGTTGAGAAAAATATAGAAAAAAAAAGTTGAATATCGGAAAACAAGAAAGATACGCGGTGAATGTGTGTGTGTGTGTGTGTGCAAAAAGTTGTCAAATATAAATATCTTAATCGAAACTAATCTGATGCTAAAAATATCAGAAAGAGTTTTATCTAAGTCTAAGTATTTTCAACCAAATAGAAGGACTGATTGATCATTCTAAGTAGCATCAACTGTCTCTTATTCACGTATCATAGTTACCATCGAAATTCATTTGAAATAAAATGACAGTAGAATTGACTTGTTTAGCTCATTTATCTATATTTAAACATGAAAAACAACTATTAAATGGCATAAGATTATGGAAATAATCTTGTTTTTATATTTTTACGTTTCTTTTCTTAAGATTCAAATATGTGAACATCGACAATTTTATCGTCTAACTCGCAAGGATGGGGTGAAGGAGAAAGTTTCAATAGGAAAGTAAACACTTACTTCATTAGGCTACATCTTCGAGATAGTGTCAGATACAACTTTCTCTTTGAGAAAAATCAATTCATCAGTTACAGAGTTCTCGATAGAAGCTGACACAACCATTACAGTTCTTAGAACAAAACTCGAACTATCACATGTTTATACTAAAGTATTGTGGGATGTAGATGAATATGAATGTCGGTGTAGGTGAATAGAAGATCATATCCACATCTAAATTTACACTCTTGGATAGTTTTCAGGATTATCGATTAATATTTGGCAAAAATATAAGGATTCGATACTTTGTATTTGAACCGTTTGTAATGAATGAACTGATTCTGCTAAGTCCATTCAACAGGAAGTAATCGCCAATCAAGGATCATATTTTGTTTAGGCATTGAAGTGAAATCTGACTCTAATATGTATATTTGTCTAAAAAATATGGCATATTATCATGTCAGAGTCATATTGCATTCAATGTTCGGAATTTAGTTTTAACTTCGGAAAGTTAAAAGAGAATTGAGACAAAAACATGCTATTGCCTTTTTATGCTTAAGGCCCCCCCCCCCCCCCCCCCTCCCTCAAAAAAGTTAGTTTTCGTCAGAATGGTCAAGACTGAGATAGATACATGGGGAGATAGCCTGTCATTTGCTCTTTCATAAACGATAAAAACTTTTCTTCGATACCTCCTTTTTTCCGAAAAACTTTCAATATTTTTGACGATCCCTATTAGAAAAATCGATGGTTTTTCGAAAAACCCAAAAATCATTTTCGTTTTTTCTCAAAATGGTGGTCGAATTACGTAGCCCCACCAAAAGTCAATTATAATCCGATATAAAGTCAAATATTTTTTTTTTCTCTGATAGAGCATCAAAAACTGCAGTGCCTATGAGGGTCCTTTTTTTGATAAAGCTTTCCTATTATTATATTGAAAACCGATTTTATAATATAAGCATCATTTTTTTGAGGGATTTTTGAGTGAATGAATTTGTGAACCCTTTTTTTCTTATTAAAGATAAGAATTTAAAAAAAAGGTTCCTCATAGGCACTGCATCCTGAGATGCTCTTTCAAATGAAAAAACAATGAACTATATTGAATCAACACCCATAGAGATTTTTTGAGGCTACGATAAGCTATTTTTCGACCCTTGTTTGGTTCGTATCTACCTTATACATGAGGATAGAAGGCTGAAACTTTTATTACGTGCGTCCTATCACAGGCCCAACATATCCTCCAAATATCAGCCTGTTTGGATGTTCCTGGGCTGAGATCAATTTTTGAGGGGGGGGGGGGGGGCTTAAACTGAAATTTGCGCAAAGTAATAGAGAAGAGTTCTTCCAAGAAAAACTCAAGTAACAGAAACAGTTACAGATATGATTAATGATAATGAACAGGAAGAAGAATAACAATCTTTCATTATTATTTCACCAATACTTCCATCACTGATCCATTCAAATCCCTTACTCATACCTTTCGCGTCTTTGGCGAGTCCGACGATCTATTCCATTCACGATCAATTAGTATTGATAAGGAAGCAATTGACAAACTTAATAGATACAATTGAACAAATGAATTTGGACAAAGGAAAAGGTTATGTATCATCATTTCTACAATCGGATAATATTGAACAATCATTTGAAAATATCAAATGTTCCAATGTCTTATATTCATTGAAGTATATAGAAATCAATAATCAGTTGGATACTATTACATGTGTATCATGTTCAAAGTTTAAAAAACACGCAGCAAAACATTTATTAAGTACAATTAAATCTTCATTCGACTTATTTGAATACATTAAACAAGATTCGACTCAAGTTCAATCTCGACGTTTTCGAAATTTAAAGAGAATTTTATAACAACATCATTTAAACAAACTACATATCTGGTGTGTAGAAGAAGAAGATGAGAAGCAAAAGCAATTACTCGACGATTTTCTAAGAAAAAATGGAAAGCTGAGTTGAATATTGGTAGAGTAGCTTTATTCTGTATTCGAAATAGTCTTGACGATCTAAAATTTGTTGATACTTTGAACGTATCGGATCTATCTTGAACTCCCGTGGGAACTTGCCGGTAGTTAAAATTATGTTACTACAGATAAGTCTTCCAGTATTATGTTAAATCTTGCTGTTTTTATATATGTTTAGGCACAGTCGATGGTTTTTCGAGAAAATAAGAATGTCGATGAAAGCAACGATGAAAAACAGAATTATTGAATATTTACATTCAATTGATTCTATAATACAACGTTGTCGACCATTCGGCATAACATTCAATAAAGTTACATTATTAAGAAGATCGATGCAAGTAACAATTATGATAGTAATGATCGACGTAGAGTTAGTACCTCTCTATCTTCAATCTACATTATGTGAAAAAGAGTTAACGGGTGAACGATTAGCTGGCAATTGTGTTCGCGTGCTAGAATCGTTCGGTTCGAAAAAAAACAGCATTACAAGAACAGTTTACCAGTTGTGCTGTTGATAGTGCCTATATTCATTTGCAAATCGAAAAACATCTATGTCAAAAAATAGAACTGCAAGAAAGATGACTAACAGTATCATGGAATAGCGCGCATTTGCTTGAATTAGCAATAAATGATGCACAAAAAAACAAAGTACTTTTCCTGATTACAAGCGTTCATTAAAACATGTAGTACACCTATGCGAAAATATTCATATGAAAAGCAATATGAGCATCTACTGGAAGCAGATGAATTAGTCGAGGAACAAATACTTCAACCGTAACAGTTTTATACTACTCGTTTTGTTCAATCAGAACTTCGTGTGTACGAAACGATATTTAAAGATTGGTCAACTCTGTATTATTTACAAGAACAAGACGAAAATATTGATACCCAACGCGAAGCATGAGATGGTGATAATGTTACTTATGGAACAAATTGTAGTCAGAATTTTTATTTCGTCAGGATCCCTTGTTTCTTTGATTTATCATGAAGATATCAAATCTGTAGATTTTATTTGGGAACTTATCGGTTTGAATGACATCTACAATGTTCTTGTACGAGCATCTATGTCCGTACAACAAGTCAATATATATCCGTGGGAATATGATGATTCGATTCGACGCTTACAACAATTTTTAGACGAATATAGGAAATTACTTGAACAACTCGATTTGAATAAAACACAAGAAATAACGAGTTTAGAAAGTAAACTATTGTTTTGAATTCCAGAATGTAGTCATCTTTTGAATACTATGCTTTTATCTTTCTGTATTAGAACGTAAAGAAGAGAAATCAATACGCTCACCTGGGCCGACAATCGATGACGATTGTGATATATAAGAAGAAGAGGAAGAAGAAGACGACGAAACATAAATTCAAGTGATGTCATCTGAAAATCATATGGAACAATATTGTCAAGATTTATTCAAATGTCAATTCAAACAACGTCCAATCATCAGATGCCCTGGTGACTATGATTCAGAAGATCCAACTACATATGTAAGACGAAAATTGATCGAATTATATCAACAGTTGACTGAAACAATTACAACACGGTTTCGAGATATATCATTCTTTTTTATATTGATGAAAAATTGTTTAGATGTTCCACGTTTACACAACCAAGTAGTATCAATGGGTTAACAAATAATGATTGATTACGGCAGGGTTGAATTACAAGAACTAATTTGATTATACAATCTTGAGTTCAGAATAGATACAAATAGATAGAAGTATTATACAAAATCAATACTCCGAATGGAAATGACGATTTTCATACGAAATTAAAGATAAGGATACACTTGATATTTAGACAATAGGTGAAAAATTAGTTACATCAAAAGTGATGAAAACATTTTATACAAGTAGAGATCTGTCTGACGGTATTAGTGACTTTCTCTGCTTTCATTTATTGATAGTACTCAAAATTAGAACTGAACCGATATGTGTGCCAGCAGCGTCAATCTTGAAAGGACATATTCATGCCAACCGTTCATTACACCACGATTCGCTAGATAGCGAAGTAATACTTCACTGGAATACCCCCCCCCCCTCCCCCCCGTTACATTTCGCTGAACCCTTTTATCAAACAGTCACTGGATGATTATTTTAACACCAAGAAGGAGAAAATTTGTTTATTTTATAAAAAGAGTAAACAATATAAAACGTAATAACTTATATCACCTGGCTCAGTTGTGCTAAATCATTTACGAACAGAACAAGTACCATGATTATCAGAGTCAATCAAAGATCAATAGAACGAGTTATTTTTTATATGACGCTATTTATTTTAAGTAGTTCTATTTCGATGCCCTTTCTTCATAATAAATATATATTCTATGCAAAGAAACCTTGTTTCTTTTTATTTTTTTAGTTGGGGAAATTTTCCTTTTTTTACGGCATATTCTGTACCTCTGTTCTAAACCAATCTCTCTTACCGTTAAAAATGCTTTTATTTAAGTATGATTACAAGATCGACTGATCAATAAACAACTTTTTTAAAATCCTTTTTTTGTTGTTGATTGATTATTAATAAGAGAGAAAAAAAAATAAATTACTTATTTAAGCTTAATCAAATTTCTTAAGATTTCTGTTTTTTGTATTGTCTTGATGATATCAGTATTTTCCTAAAAATATGAATAGATTTCAATCAATGATGCTTTTTCTTTTAATTAATAATAAATTTCCTCTTAATAAAATTGTCGACTATTGAAAATATTGAACATGAAAATAAACAAATATAAACATAATCTATTATTTAGATATGAGATGTTCAATAGAAGTCATTGAATTTTCATCGATTGAAATTTTGAACCTTAAAGGATCATTTAATATTTGAGATCGAGAAGAAGGAAGAGATGCTGCATTAGCAAATAGAACTCCATTTGATTGTTTCCAAACTCCATAATCTGAATGAATATGACCAAATATTGAAAGTAAAGGTCTTATTTCATGTAATCTTAATTCTAATTTAGGTTCTAAATCGACATGTGATCCATTTGGTGAACAAGGTGGATTATGTGTTATTACAATATGTGGATTTGAAGGAATATCCGACCATGTAGATTGACCTGTAGGACGCCATGATGAACCATATATACGAAGATAATCATCAATAATAACCTGTTCATCTTCTAAAAATCGTCCATGATTAATAGATGGACTTAAAATTGAATCGTGATTTCCAGCAATAATTAATTTATGTCGAAATGGAAGTTCACTTAACCATTGATCAAAATCATAAAATGGTTTTGAACCACGAGCAAAATTCGTTATATCTCCAGCATGTATAAGAATATCACCACTATGACTTGATTTTAATCGATCTGTTAATTGACGATGTTTTTGATGTGTATCACTTATACAAACAACTATCCAACATTTACTTATTAACGACATTTTACAAAAACAACAAAAAATATTTTGTTTATTAACAAAATCTATGAGAAATATTTCTTTGAATGAATCATCATTCATCAGTTAATATGATTCATCAATGTTATTCTCTTGTTTTGCTTTTCTTTTTCTAATCGAAATTTATTCTAACATCAATATTTTATGTTAAAGTAAGAAGAATTTTATTTTGAGAAGAGAAGATATAACAATCTTACTAAGGTATAATACACGCACCAGACTTATAATGACATATTGTGCCTTTTGGACAACAATGTCGACCATCATTACAACATACACCCTACAAAAATCATTCAAACAATTATTAAGTAAATAAAAATCTTCAATAATAACTTACATTAGAATAATGACAACAAGCATATTGATCAGAATTTGATTGAGAAGTTTTACAACAAGTTTTATTATATGGACAAACTACATTTGTTGATCCACATTTATTTAAACTTTGATTTTCTATTAAAATTCTTTTATTTAATTGAGAAGATAATTCTTTTTCATCACAAATATATTTATATTGAGGAAAATATGAATAATTCCAAGAATAATATATATCCTGAATTTAATTTATCTTTTTAATTGAAAATAAATTGAATAACTTACTTCTGAATAAGAACAAGATGAATAACTTCGACATTTTTTATCTTTATTTCGACAACATATTGAATAAAATGAATATTTTCTTTTCCCATAAGGAGATATTTTATTTTCAATAATAGATAATCGAATTAATCTTTCACTTTTTATTTTTATTTTATCAATTAAATTAAAATTTTGAATAGATCTTGAGCATGAATGATGACATAAAGAACTTTTTTGACAATAATGTATCTAAAGAAATTATTTTCATTTTAATTTTAACAAACTTTATCATAAGAAGAAGATCCTTGACGATATAGACAACATACATATGATTTATTATTTAATTGAGAACAATTTGATATTTCATCTTTTTATTAAATAAAATAGATTTTATTAGATTTTAAATATAAAAGAAAAAAACAAATGCAAACCAGAAGATTGAATTCTTGAAATATTTGATAATGAATAATATATTAATTTTGATGATAAGATATTTTTTATAGGAAATGCCAAGTTTTTTCTAAACCATCGAATAGAAATATTTTTTTGACACTTATTTAAATCAATCTGACATCTATATCCATATGGACAACAATGAACATAATCACCTTTTATTTAAATTTATTTATTTATTTATATTCTTGTTTATTATTAATAATAACTTACTACAACAAACAGCATCACCTTAAATAATAAATAAACATTTTTTTTGTTATTTTAAATACAAAAAAAAAAAGAAAACTAACGTAATGGACAACAAGCATACTTTCCCGACTGTAATTGACAACATGTTTCATCTAGAAAAAAAAATTCATATTAATATTGAGTAAAATAATTATCTCGAAATAAATCTTCAAACCATGAGAACATAACATTTCACCTAAACATTTTTTAAAAATTATTTTCAAATAAAAACTAAAGAATATGTGATACATACCATCAGGACATAAAATATAATAAGATTTTCTAAATCCTTTTTCACATCTTGAGTGTTCAACATCACATCTATAACCAGTTGGACAACAATGAAGATTATCATCTTATTTAGATTAGTTTTATTTTAATTCAAATTTATTTATTAGAAACTTACTGCAACAAACAGCATTAGCTAGAATTTTAAAAACAACGAATACTTATTTAAATAATATCAAATAAAACAATGGATATTAACATACGAAGAGGACAACAACCATATTGACCCGATGACAATTTACAACATGTTTCATTATCAGGACAATAACTAGGCAAAGATTTTATTTCATCGTTAACATTTATTCATTCATTTCATTTACCTTTCTCCATCTATTTAACAAAACTTATATATAGATAATCAAATATTTTGTTATTTTACCTGGACATAGAACAGATTTTATTCGAACTTGAAAAGAATATAATGGAAATTTCGACTAAATATTTAAACGAATTTAAATATTAAAAAAACATAAAAAAATTTGAAAATAAAAATGCTAATTACATTATTTGAATATCCATTTGAATATTGATTAACTATTCCTATCAATAATAGAACTACAAACAATGACATTTTAAACTATTTGCTAAAATAAAATAATGATAAAAGATTTTATTTATAATCAATAATCAATAAAACATTTCAATAGAATTATTCTCAAAATCTAATATTCAATATTTAAAGATAAATTAAATTCTCTTTTTAAACAAAGAAAAAATCGAATAAAATATTCTATTGATTTTCTAATAGAATTTCTTGTCTTTATTCATTTGTTTATTTAGTTTAATTAAAATAAAAACAAATATTCGATCGATTGTTTGCTTATGACCAGTCAAAGATTATTGAGAAAAGAGGCCGCTTATTTCTTTCGATCTATATAGGATATCTACAAACTAACAAAACAAAGAAAAATTTCTATAGATATCTATAGAATATCTTCACCAAATCGATTAACATTTTAACCATTGATAAACGAGGAGGCATAACTCATATCCATAACGGGATACATTCTCAAATATTGTTTTCAACTAGTATTAACTAATTTCAACAATAAACTCTCACCTTTGACGAGTTATAAAAAACAAATATTGCACTTTTCTCAATGGTTGAAACTTTCAGAGTATACTCAATAAGAAAACATCTATCTATAGTATAACTATGAGATAAAACAACACTAGTCTGAAGAAGTTATCGAAAAAATGATATGTCCTTTATTCTTGATTAACGGAATAAATATATTTTTCTTTTTTCATAACTGGAAAAATCTTATAGTTTATCGTTGTGGAGTTATTTAATACTAGTTGACAACAATTTTTGATAATGTTTCCCCTTATGAATATGAGCTATATCTACTCGTTTATTAGTGATAAAATATGGTATAGATATCTATTAAAACGTTTTTTTTGTTTTTTTAGTTTGTGGATACCCACTTATATTTCATAAACAAAACAATATTCAATTATACTTTTTATCTTTCAATTATTATTTTTTATCTTTTTCATTTTCAAATCTAAAACAAATCTATCATTTAAATGAATTTTTTTTCGAAAAATATCGTTTTTTTTTTTCATCGAATAAATCAGTTACACATATCGATATTAGTTAATTATAAAACAAAAATAGGAAGAAGTCTCAAATATGCTTTTTTCTTTCTATTTCTCTCTCTCTCTCTCTCTTCCTTGTATTCGACCTAGATGAGTAAAAAACAAAAAAAAGATTTATTTCGTTTCATAGAAGAACTAAGGATAAAGTTGAATTTGATTTATTTAATAGAAATTTGAATAAAATGTCTAAATTAGCTTCAATATTATTGATTATATTATTATTATTATTATTAATATTAATAAATAATGTTAATTGTTATAGTTGTGATTGTTCATGTTGTACAGGTTCTGGTTGTTCATTAGTTAATCAGGGAACAATATCAGTATCAACATGTGCTTCAACAACATGTACAGATGCTTGTAAATCAAAGTATACAACATGTGCATCAGGATCATCAAGTGCTGTTTGTTCAGGTAGAACTTTTTTTCAATTTTATTCAATTTTATTTTTAATTCTCTCTACAATTATATTTATTTTATTTCTCAACAATTAAATTCATTTATCAATTCATTTTATTTAACAAACATTCAACATTATTTGACTGATTATCATTTTGATTTCGATTTTCTTTTTTGCTTTTTTTATTTTTTAATAAGAATTTTACTATTTCATATCTTAATCATTTTTATGAGTCTCAAAAAAAAGGGCAATTGCTACTGTTTTAATATGGGAAGAATAAATTGTCTTACTGAGACATAAATTAAGGTAAATATTAAATAAAATCTAATCTTAAGAAGCATTATTTAAAATTAGTTTTTATTTATTTAAATAAATGAGAAATAATTTGTTTTGAAGTCTAAAATAAATTTATAAATAAATATCTTAACGATTGTTAATTATTTAATAATAAAGAATTAAAAAATATGAAATAAATAATAATAATAATAATATTTATTATAGAATAAAATATATTTGTTTATTTAAATAATCAATCTATTTATTAATTAAGATATAATTCATTTTATTGAAATATATTATTTAAATAGTCGAAATTTAAATAAAGAATAAACAAGTTTATCTTATATTAAATTCAATATTGAATAATAACCTTTTTTTATTCTTCAATTACAAATAAAATATTATTTATCTATCATCGATTTATTATTATAATGAATTTTTCAAAAAAAAACTTTCTTTAATAAATAAATTATTTTAAAATAAAAATTCAAATATTCTATTAAGATCAACAGCGTTCAGATTTCCAAAGCAAAAATAAATTACTCCGATAAATCATCAACTTTCAGTAACTATTACACATTGATAAAGAGATTTCCAGTAAACACCGAAATTAGTGAAAAATTCTTAAAATCCAATCAAAACTCTCGTTTAATAAATTACACTGAAACGATTGATAAACTTTACGATAAAATAAAAAGGATGTGCTTAGTATACTTCAAGCCTATTGTTTGTTAGAGTTCATTCTCAAAAGAGACAATTTTTCTGTAGATTAAATTAAATAGATAAAGAGAGTCAATAGATTTGCTTTAGAGTGATTGTTATAACCAGGGATGACACTCTATCTTTACTTTAACAGATAAAACTAACTTTACTTTACCGAGTAAGATAAAGTAAATTCTATAAATTTTACTCACAGAGTAAGGTAAACTAAACAGAAAAACAATACTTGAAATTTATTGCTGATTTTCTAGCTCAACATCATAGACTGATAATCGTGCTGTACCATTATCAATGTATGATGTTAGACCACAAAATCAATGTTAAATTGTATATATTTAAGTTCACTTTACTTTACTTTACTTTTTCAAAGTAATAATAAAAATAAAATGCCACTCCTAATTATTACACAGATTTTATTGCTTATTGATTGTATATATCCGTCATTGTAGAGCTATTTAATTCTGACTACTACGTTATTATTTTCAAGATTACTTAATAGATATGGATAGCTACTTAATACTAATAGATAACTATTTAATATTGTTGAGGGTATGGCTGTGGTTGTGCATCTTTGTCTTATCCATGGACTCGCCATCACACTCGCCCACAGCCTCTTCAATTGTTTAACCTGAACATGAAATTGATTTCGCTTAAGAGGGTCCCCCCTCAGAAACGAACTTGGTCATTTTTCATCCAATTTCAACCAAAATTTGCGAGAATGTTAGTCTTGACTAGAATAGCTTATGGTCAAAATATCTCCCCCAAATCTCAAAGAAATGCACAAGTTCTAGTCAATTCATTACCCTTTACGCGTTCAAGGATTTCGCAATAAGGATACGAGCTAACATGTCGGGGCGGTTTTCAGGTTGTAGAGTACCATTAGAGCTAGGTCCTAATAGAGCCCGATTTTTGAATTTCCCTTTGTTTGATTTTTAAAAAACTTTTTTCGTAAAATTCACGAAATCATGCCCAAAGAAATTGCTAACAAAAATGGAATAACAAAGTTTTTCATTTCACCAAAAGAGAAATTCAAAAATCGGGCTCTATTACGACCTAGTCCTAACTGTCCTCTATTTAACAAAAAAAAATTATCCCTTATCTATTGAGTCGTTATTAAAAAATCCTTGAACGCGTAAACGGTATACTCGAAAAAATTGATTTTGAGAAAAACGAAAAATAAGTATTAGAAATCGATTTTTCCGAAAATCACCTGATTTATATATCAGTGTTCAAGACAGGCTGCAAATATGCCATCTTAATATTAAGTTTTAATAGTCTCGTAGTGATTAGTATAAAAAAAACTTTACGAAATGCTGATGCAAAGAAAAAGGAGCCTAAAAAGTCAAAAAACCTTGAAAAAACACCATGAAAATTTCTCGAAAAATATGATAGTAGAAGCCAAGTTTTAGACGATAAGTTCGTCAAAATCGATTCGATTTTTGATAAACCATATATACTCTAAAAGAGGAGACTTCGGTGCATCTTCCTATGATAAAACTTCAATTTCGACCCGTCTTCGAAAAATTGGATTTTCTGAGGGGGGGGGGGCTTAAATTCGAGTAGAATCTTCTCAATAATTCAACTAAATATTTGAAAAAATCTTTAATTATTTAAAGTATTAATTATTAGAAAATATGAATGTACTTTACAATATGAGAATATCCATTGGAATATGTATTCATTAGTTCAATAAACAAGACAACTATTACCAACGAAATTTTATCTATTCAATCTCAAATAAAGAAATATTGATTTTCTTTCATTTCAAACAAAAAAAATTCATATAACATTTCAAAATTCGTTCATGTAATTATTTATCTTTTCTCAAAATATATCAAATTAAACTTCAAAGATAAATTAGATTATTTATTTATTAAAAATAAGTCAGTAGCTTAAATTAAATATTTGATATTTACTATAAAATTTTATTTATATTTCGTTTTGTTTTTTTTTACAAAAATAAAAGAAACTTTTGATCGATTTCAAATGAGTAGTAAAAGATAATTGACTAAAAAGGTCGTTTAGCTTCTATCGATAACATTACATAGAACTATATTTTAGTTTATTGTTCCTTAACCAATTCTTCGTCTCAATGTTAAACTAATATGTAAAAACGAAGCCAGCAATCAAACAGTCATTGCAATATTTATTGATGGAAAAAAATGATCATTATCTACCTAACAAAAGACTGAACTTTTCTCTTTTTTTGTCATATTTTGAAAGTTATTTATAAAATATTCTCGTTTAAAATCAATTAGATTTTTCAATATCATCTTATTGTGAACCATAATAGCTATGTGAAAAGATTTTTTTCATGCTATTCTATAATTGTTCTCGCTTTTTTGTTTTGTTTTATGGAAATGAATATGATTAGTTGAAAGTGATTTCAATCCTACATACGTCTTTAATAATTTCTTTTTTAATATATCTTTAAGTATTATTGAGTTTAAAGAGAATAAACTAAAGATGTTAAATCTTTTTTATTTTATTATCTTGTTTTTATTTTTCAACAAAAACAACGAACAACAACAACAACAAAAAAAAATTTGTTTTTTTATGAGGATGATGGACCTTTTGGCGTTGTTGCATCAACAGCAGCACCAGGACTAGATGCACCACCACCGAGACTAGCAGCACCAGCACCAGAATTAGAAGCACTGCCACCAGGACTAAAAGCACCACCATCAGGAGCAGAAGCACCACCACCAGCAATACCAACAAGGCTATTGGCGAGGGCTCCCAATCGTTGTACAAGTATCGGCGTCATTGAGGTAGTCGGTTGAGCTTCGAGGTAGGCCACCGCACCCTCAACTGAGTAAGGCTGAGGAACAGCATATGATGGTGGTTGAAGATGTTGCAGATGTGTTGGTGGTGGTGATGAAGATGAAGACCTCTACAAAAAAAATATATATATATATAATAGATTGGTAAAAATAAAAGTTTTAATAGTATCTAGAGTCTTAACCTTGATGTCGTGTGGAGATGAACGACACATTATTAATAAAATATCTCACAATGTTAGTGTATATATATATATCGATAGAATGTCAAAACGATGTTAGAAACGAACTGAGATAACCTGACGAATGAGTTCTCTATTATACGAACAGAATGGATAGAAGAAAAAAAAGAACACTGATTCTCTTTCTCTCTCTTTTTCATTGGGTCGAGCAGAAAAATTTTCTTTTCTCCCTGCCTGTCTTATATTTGCCCTATCTCGTCAGTGAAAAAAGCTTCGTCTTTTTTTTCTTTCTCTGTGCATTTCATATGTTCTACGCGAAACTTGTTATAGACCATAGGATGCATAGAGAAGAAAAAGAGTGAGATAAAGCTTTTTCCCAATATTTCTATGCCTGATTCATGAAAAAAAACAAGTGATATTTTTAAAAAAAGTAATTATTGAAGAGTTAGTAGCATAGAATAATATAGAAATGATAATTAAAATATAAGAATATTGAATCGAATATTTAGTAATTATTCCTATGAGAAAGATTAATATAAACAACAGTATCCGAATATATTTACAAAATTAAAATAAAGATAAGATAGATTATTTTCTAATGAAAATTAAATTAAACATTTTAATATAAATAATTTAAATATGAATTTTTTTATTTCTATAAATTTAATATCGAACATTGATATAGAAATCTTATTGCTCAGTTAGAAAATAATAATCATATGACATTTTCACTTCTTTTCTTGTAACAGAATTCTAAGAGATGTCATAATATCCAAAGGCTGGCTATTCACTGAAAAAAAAAATTGGTACAATACCGAACCAAAAAGAGTATCGTGAACGAAAAACAGGTTTCGTACATAGTACGGAACCTAAAAAGGTTTCGAATTCGTTTCAATTCTCTGAACCATTTTAGGTTCGGTACAGATCACTATGAAAAACTTGAAAAAGTGTCCTGACTCAATGACAATCAATTTTAGTCACCCAAAGTTTTGTACGAAACCTTTTGAGGATTTCGTATTACCCTACAAAATGGTTCGGTACGCTGCAAAAGAATTTCTGTGATTACGGAACCATTTAGGAAGACAATACGAAATCTTCAAAAAGTTTTGTACAAAACTTTAGGTGACTAAAATTGATTGTCATTGACTCAGGACACTTTTTCAAGTTTTTCGTACTGGTCTTTACCGAACCTAAAATGGTTCAGAGAATTGAAACGAATTCGAAACCTTTTTAGGTTTCGTACTATGTACGAAGCCTTTTTTCGTTTACGATACTCTTTTTGGTTCGGTATCGTACCAATTTTTTTTTCAGTATTGAGAAGATATTAGTCACGATATCCGTCAGAGTGGATACCCAAAATAAATACTCTATCTCTAAAAAGTGAGGATTTTTAGTGAATTTCAAGCAACTATATGACTAGTGATGCAGTCTAATTTTGCATAATTCTGTAATAGTTTTGATTCTATTGAATATAAGATAAAATATATTGCAATGTCCAGAGAATCTTATCCTATGTCAACACAGAAGTTTATTTTATTTATCTCGGATAAGAAAATGTATTTGATCATCCATTTTGCATTTCGCTGTCCTAAAACTTTTCTCATTCTTTTGGAACTGTTTCCTATTGTCTATCTCTTCTGTTTTGTATTGCTCTAGCTGCTGTCTCGCGGGTTCTATTTTCAAACGATCGCATTTTAACGACTCACCATGCCTTTATTGGCCTGTGCAGCTGATAGTCTATGATATTTGTATAATTTTTTTTCTTTCAAGTATTCTCCTTCGGAGCTTTCGAAGCTATGCGAATAATTAGAGTTCTGATCTTTTGTCATGATCTTAGAACGGAATTCGGGTGTGAGTGTAGGTGTGGGTATGTGGATGCCACTGAAGCACTAACTCACAAGACAACAAACGTAGGGTATCGTGTCCGGTGTAGGTGCCGCGAAAGGACGGACACATGGGATACTATACACAGGGCACAGCACCTAGTGTAGGTACCCCCAACGAACTCACACACGTGGTAATACATACAAGGTGTGGCTGAACCTATTTCTATTAATAAATCTGAGTACCATACTGAAGGGATGGCTTGGACTTCGGATGCAGCTGTGAGCGCGCCTGTACGCTGTGCCTTTATAAGGCTTTTGAGGGACTGTCGAGGCATAAGCATATGATCTACACTCAGGGAATCCTCAACTTTTTAGATATATGGGTATTCATTTTTTGCTATCCATCTCGTTATACCAACTTCACTAAAAATGGTCACTCTTTACGAATATGTCGATTTTTTTTTTAGAATCTCGATACCCGAGTTTCGGATATTACGACATCCCTCATTATAATTTAATGTTGAAATTTCTTTGAATAAATTATTTTTTTTTATAAATATAATGAACAAAGACAAAAAAACTCCTACTGTTTTTGATCAATGAAAATAAAATATCAACTTGTCACGTTTTATTTTTAATATAATTTTCAATTGAATTTTGTTTTGTTTTGATAAAATTTCAAATGAATGAAGATAATTGAATTAGATCAAATATTCTATGATATAATTATATTTCATAGATGTTATTTATATTCACTTCGTTCCCTAGACCGTAAGGATAGGATCTAGAAACGAAAATTGATCTGTCTGCACGTATGTCGTTTTTGTCGGTAACATGGCACACATGACCAGTTTTTGGCACAAATTACTATTTTTTTTGAGACAACGACCACGTACCTATGGCACCAGTGACCATTTCGGTAAATATGGTACAAAATACCATATAGCACCCATATTACTAATCAGCATATGACGTGTAATAAAATTTTGACAAGTGAACCAGAACAAATACGTCATTTTATAAGGTATCAAAACGATATTATTTAAAATATGATTTTTTTTGAGTATAAACAGCGCTTTTTTGTACTGAGAAGAATTTTAGTATTAACTTTTTAATCATAATCTAATAACTTTCTAAGACATGTGTGTCGTTATGGCATCAGTCTAGGACCAGGTGAATCGATTGTCGATGAACGTTACTTGTTTATTAACGTAATTTAAATGAATTTGAATTCTTTTTATGTTTTAATTGTTGATTTATCTCAAAATATTCTCGAATACATAAAAAAAATGTTTTTTAGCAAAAAAAAAAATCTAATTATTTATGTTAATCAATAAATGTCTAATTGAAAACAAAAAAGAATCGAATTTTTCGATATATCTAATTATATTCTTTAAATAGATTATAAATAGTCAATATAGTTGATTATTTATTGAAGAATATAATAAACAAGATTGATAAATAAACAAAATAATATCGATTTGTTTCATGTTATATATTAAATGATGATAGATAAAGATTTGAAAAATTCGAATTTGTTTATTATATTTAAATATGTTTATTTTGATTTAAAAAAAATAAAATCAACGTTAGTTTTATAGTTTATTTGATTGAATAACGGCTAATTGATTAGTTTTTTTTTTATTATATTTCATCCAATTTTATTTATCACCGGATAAAAAAAAAGAAAAATAATATGTTAGATGCTTTTTAATCTATAAATGAATGTATTGACAATAATTATAATTGAATATTAATATTGTTCGTATGATAGTCAAATAAATTCAATATTGACCATTTAAACTTGTTTATAAATAAATATTCACATGTTAATTTATTTAGAAATCTAAAATACATTATCTTATATATATATATATAGTTGCTCAAGAATAAATAAAGATTGAATTTTAATGATAAACTTTCTAAATAATAATGTTAATTGTGATAAATAAAATAAATATGTTGAAGAAAAAAGTGACATATCTCATAAAAAATAAAATATATTGAATTTTGAGACATAGTGAATTGATACATGTATGATATTGAAAATAAAAAAAAAAAAAAGATTAGTTTTAATATTGTTTTTTCATAGTTTGAGAATTGTAAAGAAAAAAAAGAATTGAGAAGTGAGTATAGGTTGATTTTGTAGTTGAAAAAAAACTGTTTAAGTAATGTTAGTTTTATTGTTAAAAGTCATTCGATTTTTATTTTTATTTTTTTCTTTCGAGTGTCAATCTTTGTTATTGAAAGCGATGGTGAAAATTTTTTTAAATCAATGCTTACTTTTTATGTTTCTAGATGTTTTAAAAGAGAGACAGAGATGGAGAGAGAAAACGTCGTCATCGATTTTTTTTGCTCACTTAATAGAGCAAACAAAAAATTTCAAAACTGAATGGTAACAACAATAAAACGAGTCGTTTTAATCGTTGTCTTGGTTGTGTAAAAAAAAAAAAAAAAAAAAAGAAGTAACTATGTCCGTAGTCTCTCCATCGCCTATCGTTGGATATGATCACCAACAATTATCATCATCATCATTAAATAAGAAAAAAATGTTGTTACCACAAATTGAACATCCATCAAAACGAATCGATTCAGATGATAGAAGTTCATTAGATATTCGTGGAAGATCAAGAGATAGTCATGGAAATGGAGAATTAATTCGAAATGAATCATCTCCTCGTCATCGAAGATCATCTTCATTGAAATATAATTCAAAATATCGAAAATATTCTCAAAATTTCGATAATATACCAGAACATATAAATACTCCTCTTGAAAAAGATCGAGATCAAGTTCGTTTACCTATTTTTGGTAAGATTGTTTTTTTTTATTATTATTTTAAATATAAAAATTAATTTAACAAAAAAAAAAGGTCGTCGAGCAGATAGTAGATCATCATCATGTGATAATCAAAAAGAAAAAGAAAGTTGTCAAACATCTCGAATTGAAATCGATGAACTTGAAATGATGTTAAGAGAAAAAGTTCGTTCACAAATTCATGATGTTCGAACTAAATTTCGTCATGCCACTCAAAATGATCCGAATGGAAAAATTTCTCGTCAAGCTTTTCAACATTTAATTGCAACTATTTTTGGAACACAAAAACAAATAGGACCATATCAAATTGAAAAATTATTAGAACGACTTAATCTTAAATATTTAAATAAAATAAGTTTTGATCAATTTATTGAATCATTATTTAATGGTGAGAAAGATCTTCCTGATTGGATACTTAGCCAAAGATCATCACGAGAAGAATCTTCATCAAAAAGAACAGCAAACCAAATGTTTATTATATTAAAAGAAAAAGTTCGAACTAAGTTAATATTTTTTATTTATTTTATTTATTTAAATAACAAAATTTATTTTATTTATATTAGACATAAAGATTTAATAAATCTTTGTCCTTCATTGGATGGTGGACCATCTTCAAGAATTTTTAAACCACAATTTCATAATACTATTCTTGATATGGGTTATAGAATCAAAGATACAGAATTTGATAAATTGTGGGATAAGTAAGTTCAACTCTTTTTCTTCATTTTTCGATATATGATTTTAACAAAAAAAAATCTTTTTTTATTTAAAAAACAAAAAGATTTGATACAGATGGATTCAAAGCAATTAAATCGAATAAATTTATTAAAATTTTAACAAATAATTCTGTTGGAGAAGAAGAAGAAGAAACAAAAATAAAAAGAAAAGAAAATCTTGATGAAGAGTCAGTTTGTTCTCAATCAAGAAACGTTCAATCTTCTCATAGTGATTCAGATTTAAAAACACCTCGTACAATTAGTATAGATTTATAACATAATCATATTCACTAATTAATTATTCATTTTTTTAGATTCACGTGATCAATTGGATGAAAATCGAATTCAAAAATGGCTTAATCATAAATTTCCTCAAGGATTTTCTGATCTTGAACGTGCACTTGAACGTTTAGATACAAAACAAATGGGAACTGTATGATATATTTCATATTTGATTTATTTTAATTGAAAAAAGAAATTTCTTTTTCTTTTTCTTTTTAAAGTTACCTCGTAATAGATTTCTTGATGAATTAAAAAGATTTGGTTTAAAATTAGAAGAAAATCTATTGGATTTTTTTTTAAAACGATTAGACGTTGATTTATCATTAACAAATGATGGAATACCATATCGTGATGTTATTAATGCTTTTAAACAAAGATCAGATCCAACCAAAAAAAGAATTAATGCTGATAATCAATTGTTTGTTTTACTTTATTTTAAATTTTTCTTTTTTAAAAACAAATTTTTTTCTTTATTTTACTTTTTATTTAAGACATCGAGAAGAAAATCGTCAAACATCATTAGAACGACAAATAGATAATGCTCTAGCAATGAATTATGAACAAGTTCGAGATTTATTTGACAATTTTGACATATATCATAATGGAACAATTAGTAGAAATGATTTAAGATCAATTATTGAAGATTTTATTGAATATACATTAAAACCTGATGAATATTATCAATTACTTAAACATATTCCAATCGATGAGCATGGAAAAATTAAATATAAAGAATATTTAAAACAACTTCTTGATAGAACACTTTATTTACAAGAACAACAACAAAAATTATCAAAGTTTATTTTTTTTTTATTTTATTTTAATTTATATAAAATATAAATTTAGAAAATCTCAATGGGAATCAATGAAAACAAGAAATATTAGTAAAAAAGTGAATATTGAAGAATTAAAAGAAAAAAGAGAAGAAAGAGAATATGAATTAAATAAAAGTTCAAATAAGATTTCTAATGATGATGATTATCAACAAAGAACAAGATCAATCGATCAGGTTTTATTTTATTTATTTTTATCTTAAATAAATATTTTATTTTAAGCTTCGTCAAATGTTAAAATCATTAATACGAAATCGTTCTAAAGATATTGAAGATCAATTTAAAAAAATTGATCGGGCTTCATATCAAGAATTAACACAAGATCTTTTATATGATTTATTTAAACGGTTTACTTTTAATAATAAAAAACAAAATATTTCAAATAAATAAAATTAATTTTGTTTTTTTTTAGTCTTTCTCTTAAACCTGAAGTAACACGTTCTGAAATCGATTTAATTTGGTCTCATTGTCATTTAAAAGAAAATGGACATTTAGATTTTTATCAATTTTTACGTGAATTTGGTTATTCAAAACGTTCAGCACATTATCCAAATGCAAAAAAAAATCCACCAAAAAGAGGTGATGCTGATTTTTTCTTAACATCAAGAAAATTATATGGAGATTCAGTTCTTGTTCATGGTACTGCAATTAATGCTATTAAATCAAATTGGGATAAATTAAGACAAGAATTTACTCAATTAGATCCATATAGAACTGGTTATCTTCAATCTGATGAATTTGATGATATATTAACTGAACTTTGTCCATCTGTTAATCAAGAAGATCTTGATATGCTTAAATTTAGATTTCAAACAGAATATGATTCGAGGTAATCTTTACTTTTTAATTAATTTATTTTCTTTTTTATTTTCAATATTTAAACAAAAACCTTAAAGAATGAATTATGTTCGATTTTTAAAACATCATGCACCACTTCCAGAATTAATTGGTCTTGTTGATGAATCAAATAAATATTCTTTACCAACAATAAATGAAAAATCACCTCGTAGTACATCGAATCAATCAGTTTTAAATCAAGTTTGTAATAAACTTCGAAGAAAAGTAATTCATTTCATTTTTTATTTTTAAATTTGATAAATATTTATCTTACTTTTTATTTTTAGTTATCTGATTCTTCTAAACAACTCCGACGAACATTTAAACAACGAGATCCAACCAATAATGGTTATGTATCAACAAAAGCATTTAAAGAAATTCTTAATCAATATAAATGTTCGTTAAATGATGAAGAATTTTATACATTAACATCACAAATTGATACGAAAATTGATGGAACAATAGATTATAATTATTTTATTCAACAATATCTCAAAAATAATTAGTTTTTTTTTACCCGTTTTTGAGATACTTTTTTCTTTAATTAGATATTTATATAAATTAACAATTACGGTGATTATTATTAATAAACCTTTTTCTCCATAACAATTCTAAACTAAAAATTCTTGTAAACATTGAAAATTGATCAGAGTTTATCTTAACCTATTATAAACTTATCCTATTGAATAAAAAGGAGAGATCTCGATAATAGTAGGACGAATATTTTAACAATATTATTTTGGGTTAATAGATTGAAAAAGTAGATGAATTTTCTAGGAATTTCAGTGTTGAGAATTCTAGTAGAATGAGATTGAATCAATATAATAAATTAGTAATAATGGTTAAATATTCAATAGAGTTACTCCACTGAAATTGGAAATATTTTTAAAAACTTTCAATCGCGATCTGACTATTCTATTCTACCACGAGAGATATATTTTATCAAAACTAAGATAATTAATTATCAAAGACGTAACCACGATTTTTCATAGTGGGAGTATCGATTTTATTTTTTTAGAGGAGCATTCTCACCGGGTGGAAGCACGGTAGTTGACCGATCTAGAGAGTAATGACCCAATCTTAGGAAATATTCACTCTATCGAAGAATATTTTCAACATTTTATTTATTGTTTTATGATCAATTCTTAAAAATATGTTTTCACTCCTCAACCAGAGACGAATTTCGAAAAACTCATTGATCGTTGATCCTATTGGTTTCTAACTCATTTCGATAAAATGAAAGTTTTACTGAAAATACTCGAAAAAGTTATCATTTATATAAACAAAGAAGATTCAATGTCTCTGATAAGAATATTTTTGAGAAAAAAAAATCTATATAAATTATCCGATTTATCTCTTGAAAATATCCTCAAGTTTTATCAAATTAATTTTTGACCTTTTATTAATAAAGATATTGCTTTTATAAAGTCTTTTCACGTAAAATTTTTGTGTTTTATTAATAGATATGAAACCGATCAGATAGAAACCGATATTTGTATGATTAAATGCTTTTCTTAAAATAGTTCACCGGTTGAATCTTCTCACGAAATCGAATCTTTAAAGATCATTCTCTATTTTGGTTATGTAAGAGCATCTATGATAATAAGATAGTTACTTTTTGTTTATTATCGATAAAGGTTTAGACGTTATTCAAGGAGTTTTTAAATGAAAATAATGAGATTTTCAATGATAAAACAGATATTTATTCTAGTTTATTTAAAATTGATCGATTAAAATTAAAATCAATATAATCATTGTCTCAATTATCATCATTTTGAGAAAAATCAAATTTATTGAATATCATTCGTTAAACAATTCATTTTAATTAATCAATTTCAAAATAACTAAATAAATATTCGTTTCGTCATCAAAATTTATTCTTTTCTTTTTCGTCAATTTTCATCTAAAATTGAGAAAACTAATGAAATTTTTATAATTTTTTTCAATCGTTTGACAAATTGACATAAATACATAAATCTTCATTTTATTTCAAATTGAATTCTTTATTTTGTTTTAACTCTTTCTCTATCGACGACTAATATATAGGGTGTCCGGAAAGTCCTTAGAGTTACAAAAATTTGGATATCTCCATTATGGTTGGACTAAACGAGCTCATTTTTCTAACAAAGATTAAGGCATGTTCATACTCCAAATTCATATGGACAAGGGTATTGAGAATCTTTGTTAAGTATCACTATTGACCTCAACAAGAAAATTTTACTGTTTCACGGTTAGGAAAACAAACATTACACCGGATAGGGCAAAAGACACTTTATTGAAAAGACAATTGACTCTCTTCATTATGGCTTGAGCGAACCAACTGATATTTTTACCCAGGATAGAGGCATATCCACACTCCAAATCCATACTGACAAAGTTAGTGAGAACCTTTGTTAACTATATGCTTTTTCTTCCTCTCTGTAGAACAGTAAAATTTTCTTGTTGAGGTCAATAGTGATACTTAACAAAGATTCTCAATACTCTTGTCCATATGGATTTGGAGTGTGAACGTGCCTCAATCTTTGTTAAAAAAATGAGCTCGTTTGATCGAGCCGTAAAGGAGATATGAAAATTTTCCTAACTCTAAGGACTTTCCGGACACCCTATATACTTGTGAACGTTCTATAAATGTAGAAGTCATTTTGAAGATTATAGTAAAATCATCTACTCATTCATCTGCTCTCTTACATATCAGTTTATGCTTGTTGAATATAGTCGAAAATTTGTTAAAATGATAGAATGTTGAGAATAACCTATACTGTGCTTATAGATATATTCTTTATTTCTCTAATTATACTTATATCCGACGATAAACATTGATATACTAAGAAGGGAACGACGACTTTAATATATCAATTATATTTTACGACATTGATATGCAACATATTAATTGTTTAAAGATTAACAAGAATCAGAAAACCATATTATAGACAAAGATGTTGATAAAAGCTGATTTATTCTTTAAAAAATTTAAAAAAAAACAATAAACTCTTTAGCATCAGCGGCAATAGATTGTTTCTTCTGATTTGCTAGGTCTTTGTCTACATCCTTTTCTTGGTGATCATTCAATTATTTACACCCTGTCTTCAACAAATAGCAATAAAAAAATCTTTTCTCACCCACCATTGAGATATATTATGCTCACTTTTACATAATCATGTCTCAGTAAAGTATCAATAGAGTTCAGAGATAAATTGATATATAAGTAGTCTATATACCGTTTTGAATAGAAAATAAATCTCTATAATTATGGATAGTTCAATTATATTTCAAATTGACATAGATGAGACTATAAATATTGTTTTAGGCAATATTATGAAAAATTTAAAGAATATTTTTGTTTGAACTTTGATAACTGAGATAATAACTATAATATCAACCAAAATAAAATAGAATATGGAACTGGATATTCTGCCTAATCAACCGATATACATACTATTCAATAAAATTCAAACTTTATTCAACAGGATTTTCATTCTTATATAAGAAACTTTCTTTAAAAATGTGAAATCCATAGTTTTTTTTTAAATTTCAGTTTCCTCTGACGATGCACAACATATTTCAATAATATATCGATCTATATATATCAAGAGATAGAGGAAGTTTTCCTCTCTAAGCCTACATATATTTCGGTTTTTGGTGAAAAATGAAGATGTAACTTCTAATCGGATTTGTCGAGATTATAAAAAATAAAAAAAAATTTTGTTTCGAAATTTGATAAGAATATTTTATTTAAAAAAAAACAAATGAAAAATTGTTTTAAATAATAAATATATTCTTGTTAAAAAAATTTGCGAAGGTTTATTGTTTATTTATTTGTAAAATAGTTTATGAAAAAAATTTTGTTTTAAAACGTTGAAAAAAAGTAAATGAACGAGTTATAATTGAAGCTAACCATGGTGTTAAGATAAAACTTAGGCCAATACGTAATGGAAGAATTAGTTTAACAATAGCATATGTTATTGAAAGATTAATTAATACTAATGATGATTCATCTAATGGTTTTAAACCATATCGAGTTCGTATACGATTTATCTTTCGATTTCCTTCTAAACAAATAATAAACATTTTTTTTTTTTTAATCTAAATAAATAAATAAATGTTAACCTTGAATATATTCAGTTGGTATAGGAATATATTCTCCTAAACGTGACCATTTTAATGGAAAATAAATAAATGGAAATGGTAAAATAGCAGTTATTTCATGTAGAATAGCAAATGCAGTTATATGAGATGTTGGACGTTCTTTTAAACGATCAACATATTGACGCCATCCTCGTTTACCACTTTTTATTGTTAAATAACGTCGTAATTGAAATATTTTCATCTAAAGTACAAAAGATGTTTTTTTTTTATTTTTTATTGGTCTTATCAACTTGTTTTCAATATTTGAAGATGTTTATGGTTTAATTGCTAAAGATTTCTTTGGTTAGATGAATAGATTTAATTCATTTTAAATAATGATATTCATCAAATTGTTCTTCTTTGTTTTTATTCTTTCAATAAATAGTCAACAAATATATGATTGTAATTTTGATTATGAACAAATATGTCTATTAGGTCTTCAATCAGCCTCATATATTTTATTAAATGAAACAAGTGAACAACCTCGACAACCAGCTTCTGATGTAACTGCAATAGGTAAGAGAAGATTTTTTAGTTTTATTTTTATTTTTATTTTATTTTTATTCTTAGAAACATCAAATGATATGGGAGAATGTTATTTTCCTTTTCAATTAAATTCATTTGAAATGTTTTTTTGTGAAAAAAGTGATCCTAATCTACCATCAACATGTCCAACATTGAATGGAACTGGTCCAAGAATAAATTGTAGTGAAGGTTATTTTATTTAAATAATAAATAATAAATAATAAATAATAAAAATGATTTAAATTAAGGTGAATATGGATATGAATTATTTGAAATGGGAGAGATTGGATATCGTTCATATAAAGTTGATTTAACTTCTCAATTATCATCTGGTCAACATTGTATTAGATTTTATTATTATTTATCTGATCAATATTCAAATGGAACAATTCAAGTTATTATTCAAGACACAATATTAAATCAAAATCAAACAATTCTTATTGCTTATTTACGTCTTCAAAATCGATGGCATGAAATAAGAGAAAATTTTTATCTTGACAATCCAAATCCAACTGTATTATAGAATTATTTTCATTTATTTATAAAATAAATTTTTTCTTTTCTTTAAGATATATTTTCTATTTCAACGAGAATATTCATCAGATTTCCTTCCATATTATATGGCGGTTGATGATATTACTATAATTGATCTTGAATGCGGTAATCGAACACTTTTCTTCTCTTTTTTTTTATTTATCATTTTATTGTTTAGATCCAATTCCTACTACAACTATTATAACTACAACTCAAACTTTGGTAAGTCGATATTTAAATATTTATTTTTCTTTTTATTAAAAACAATAAATTAACAAATATAAAATAGTTGGAATTTTATTTTAAATTAAAATAAATTAGGAAAGATTTTATCTAATATTTATCTCGATTTAATCTATACATATATATAACAAATATTTTATTTTAAATAAGATATCAACAACAACAACAACAACAAGAATAATATCAACTATTTCATCATCAACTCAAAGTAGTCAATCAACAATTATTTCAACTTCGACAAATCCAATGAGAACAAGTTCAACTTCAACAAGTTCAACTACAATAAATCAAGGAACAACATCAATAGAAATAATCAGTTCAACAACAAATAATCCTCAATCATCAACAATATCTGTAAATATATATTTAATTATTAATTATTAATTACTAAATTATTTATCTATTTTTTAAAAAGACATCAACTCAACAAGGTTCATCATCAATTAAAAGTAAATTAAATAAACCTTTTTTTTTATATAAATCTAGTTAGAGATAATTATTGATTATCTATATAGAATTCAATATGAGAGAATAATCTACTCTTTAGAGGTTTATAGAATACTATATTTATATAAAAAGTTAATCTATATTATTTATCTTATTTTATTTGACTAATCTATTAAATGACAATTATTTCCTTTTATCTATCGAATAACATATAGAATAATAATATAATAGAAGAATATTTCAATAGTAATTATATGAGAATCTTCATTCAAAAAAAGAGAATAATGATATCTATTGTTAAAATTCTTAAACAATTTCTCAACAAGACAAGTTTAGTCAAAGGTAGAATGTTCATTTGTCTAAAACATTGTTAAATCGTTCATTTTTTAATTAGATTTTATTGATTATCATCAAAATAATAACTCTTTATATAAAACCAAATTATATTTATTTATTTATTTATTTATTTATAATAAAAAAATGTTAATCCGATAAATACCTATGATATTTGTCATTGTTCGTAGATTTAAAAAAAAAAAGTTCGAAATCAGTTTTGAGATTGAAAGTGATATATTATTGACTCAGTTTGAAGGTTCGAACTAATATAAATATTATTTTTATTTAATATAAACTCATTATCATTATGATAAAAATTTGTTAAATATTATTTAAAAATGGGAATCTAATTATTATACTGATAAATATTCGATATTTTATAAAACTATCTTGTTGAGAAATAAAAGTGAATAGAATTCGATCATTTTCTATATGTTTGACAATTCTATAGATATTCAATCTTTCGAACTCTTTTCAATGGTCAATAATCAGACTATTTTTATTCTAACTATGGTTATATTCGAGATATAACCAAAGAATATTATCGAAAAAAATAGAAAAGGAAAAAAAAGAGAAGAGTTTATTTGAAATAAAAAAAAAATCAAAACTTGATGAATAATAGAAAGAAATTTTCAATATAAAGATAATATTGTATAACCGTTAAATAGATCAATAATAATCAATATATTAAGTTATCAAGGCAGAGTTTGACTAAAGTTTAACGATATAAATTGAATGTGAATCGAATTCGAAGATTTAAATTAACTATTGAGAATAAAACAAAATTCGATGTTCGATAGAAAAATGATTTAATCAGTTAATAATAACCTTCCTTCTGAGATTATTTTTTTTCTTTTAAATAATTCTATTTGATTTATTTATTTTAGTTCGACCAAATATATTATTCAATTTATTATTTATTCCATTTTTTATCAAGACAATTTAAAAGATCATTTTTTTTTAAAATAATATTTAATAAATAAAGATTATTTTCATCAATAAAGATAAATAAATAATATTTATTTTAAATAAAATATAAAATAATCTCACTCTTATTCAAGAAAGATTGTTGTTTAAAATAAAGATTTTTAAAATGAATATTATCGATTTATTATAAAATAATATTTAAATAATAGATATTTTATTTAATTATTATTTTAACAAATAATTTAAATCGATTATATATTTATCATATTCATCTTTATCAACAAGATTTTATAATAAATTATTAAATTTATTCATTTTAAATTAATTCTTAAATCGAATATTTTTCAAAAATTCCCCTATAGAATATAATCGTCAAATTTCTATTATAGTTTATTATAAAAAAGTCAAAGATAAAATGTGTCTCTCCAATTTAAAGTTAAATATAATCAGAATTTCGAAAAT